AAATATTCGTAAATTAGCAGTTTTTTTTTTGCATTTTGTGAGTCATATTTCTTTTCCCCGTTTATTTATGCTTTTAAATTGCATTCAGACCTTAATCTTTCCTCTGACAAATTTTTCGTACACCCCCCCACACTCTCCTTATAACTTACACTCCCCATAAACACTGCATTATTTATTTATTATTTAATATTTGCACAATTAAAATTGCACATAGCACTACATATTTTACAGACTTAGTTTTTTGTGTTATTTATAAATCGTATTATTTCAACCTACTAAAATGTCAGTAAAAGTCACCTTGTTGAACTGTAGAGTTGAATTTTCAACATTGAAAGTTTACAAAGCAGAGCTCATTATCCCATAATGCAATTCCCAACCGTTAATAAACACTTGTGATTCAAAAATTTGGAAACTGTTAATTAACAGACTTTTTTTTACGTTTAGTCAGCATTTGAAGTGTATGTAAGAAAAGCATGAGTGTTGTTTAATAGTTTTAGGACCACTGTAATGAAAGTTTTTAATCCACTTCAACTGTTGACTACTGTATACTGTAACTAAAGTCATGGCTGGAAAAGTCATTGAAACTCATTGGTGAAAAAAGTAATGGAATACCTCATTATTGCACAATAAGTGCTGAGTGCTGACCCTGCAGAGATGTTTAATTAATGTTTGAGAGTTCACATGCATGCTCCTGCACTGCAGTGTGATTTAGTGGAGTAATGCTCTTAAATTAGCAGCACTGAGAACTTCATGCACTGGGAATTCAACCAGCACTGTTAAACCCTTGGCATAAGTTTGGAAAAGGCCCTTAAATTGAATTGTGTCCTTTAGCTAGTACCGCAACTTGAAACCGCAGATCTCTGCTGTGTTTATTTCAGATTAGGTTTATTTAGAAATGAGCTTTAACTGTTATTCAAGCTCACATTTCAATATAAAAGTGTTTTTAATGTTCAAAATATACACCACACTACAAAAAAAATTAATAAAAATCATCTAAATACGAGAAATGAACGATTTAAGAAGATACAGCTAGCCCCGTAAGATAATTATACACTATAAGAAAACTTACGTAGGCTTTAGTAAAGAAAGGAAAGTCTTAAAATAAGTATTATAACACTTATTCCTAGTGTATTTTTTCTTATTACCTTACAACTGGCTTGTTAATTGCTTTTGAACATTTTGATTTTCTTATTTTGTTTGAATAGAGTTGGGTCGATAGACGATGCCATTGTTCATCGCTGATGGCAGATAGACATCACGTTGCTGAACTGGCATCGCGATCCTCCGCCCCATCCCCGTAACAGCAGCAACCCGCTCACAAAAAATACACACTTAGGCCAATATCACAAACAATTAATGTACCATTCTGAGCACTTGATTTGATTACAAAGTTTGACCCTAATTTAATAGTGTGAAAGATATTTTTCATTTTTATTTTGATGTGTTTTTAAATTTGAATGTTGTTTTAATACTGTTAAGCTCCACCGCAAACCATAAAGTGCTGTTTGTTTTATTTTTAGCATTGTTCTGTTGTTTTCATCTGTGCTTTAAATAATTTTTTTGATATATTTTTGGATCATTTTATATATTTTAGACCTACAAAATCCCAATCGTCCCAGTCAAAGTAAAATGATGATTTCTTTCTGAATAGAGTTGCTAAATTTTATCTTGAGAAATTATATTGATATTGCAATCTAAATTGCAGAAGATATTGCAGTGTCTGTTTTTTTTTTTCAATGTTGTGCGGCCCTAATGCATATATTGTCCAAATTCTTTTATTCAAATTAAGTCTTGACAGTCATTACAATGCAAAACTATTACCTACCGCTTCTCAAAACACTAATGCCGAGTTCAGACTGCATGATTTTCCAACTAGTCGTGTCACAGATGTTTTCACACTGCTTGACTATCTGGGCTAGAGTTTCGTCGCTGCTTTGTTTACACTGCAAGATGGTTCGGCGACATAGACATTCACATTGCATGACTTTACTATAGGGAGAATCGCCGACAACTTCGTCCAAACTACGTCTCACAGCCAAAAACACGTAGTATAGCCTATCTTTTGTTATTAACTACATAATAAGAAAGAAGCCTTTAATGGGGTAGAACATGTACATGTTTGCTCACCTGGGTTTAAAGGGAATTAGCCATTTCTCCTCAACATTGATAATAAACTAATTTCTTTCTGTATGAAACGTCAAACAGACACGGTTGCTCCTGAGTCCTGTCAAACCTCCACTAGTTTTCCCTCCATTTCGTTGGTCCAAATACACCGAAAAAGAGCGCTTTTAACTTCTCCCCCAGCCTCCCGCTGGCCTGCAGCAGGTATACACACACGCACACACAAGTGAAAGCTGCTCTCTCATTGGCTGTAGGCGATCGCCGATGTTATTTTCAGTCAAAACTCAATTCACACGACATGATTTGAATCGCAGACAGCTCCAGATATTTAGCACGCCAAATATCTCACAGGCATCGGCGACTCATAGGCGATTCTCTCAGATCGCGTCTTTGATCGTTTATACTGTGTGATTGTCACTCACGTGCACGAGCAGCAATTTGCCTGTGATTTCAGGCATTTGTCGGCGATTTCTCAAAACCTGTCGGCGAGCCAAAATCAGGGCTAAAATCACGCAGTCTGAACTAGGCATAAAGCATACTGCAACAAAAGGTAACAGAGCATATTTACTTTTATTCTCTTAAAAACAATTATACTGTAAGTGTGGGCATTTTTAATGGGCATTTTAAAACAAGTTTTTACAGTTAAAAATAAAGTCTTAAAATACAGGTCTCACTCTTTATTATGCCTCTGAATGTAATTGAGCTAAATTGGCAGGTAAAAACAATGTCTCTGCTGGATCTTAATTATTAAAATGTCTTTATTCATTCATTTATTTTCCTTTGGCTTAGTCTCTTATTTATCAGGGGTCACCACAGCGGAATGAACTGCCAACTATTCTGGCTTAAGATTTACGCAGCAGATGCCCTTCCAGCTGCAACCCAGTACTAGGAAACTGGAGGAAACCCTCATGAACACAGGGAAAAAATACAAACTCCACACAGAAATGCCTCCTGTCCCAGTCGGGACTCAAACCAGCAACCTTCTTGCTATGTGGTGACAGTGCTAACCACCGAGCCACCCTGCTGACCCTGTCCTAATTATCAAAAACTAAAATTTAGGGCTTAAAAAGTCCTAAATTCACTGAAAAATGGTGTTTTATGTCTTAAATACTTTCAAAAAGGGTGTTTATTTTCCTTGGTCCATGTAAAGCTTCATAATTGGTACAACCAACAGTCCATCTAATAAAAGTAAAATGTATTACTCTCTGTACCAATATGGTTAAATTGACTTCATTACATTCATTTGTTAAAGTTCTCCATGCATTTATGCAGAAATGTATGTTGTGATTAAAATAAGTTCATCATAGTTTTTAAAACTTACATTTTTTTAAAGAAAGGTTATGCTAATAAAATAAATATATGTATATAATTAGACTGCTTGTTTTGGCACACAATTTAAAATATATGGCTAAGAAATAACTGAAATTGAATTTAAATGGGGCAAGTAAAAAAAAATCCTTAAGCCTTTGCCCTGTAGAAGTCTGAAATTTCATTCATAATGGTCTTAAATAAAAAGGTCTTAAAGTCTTAATTTTGACTTTGTGAATCCTGCAAAAACCCTGAAAAAATTACTTTCAAGGGTCACAAAACCCTCCTGTTTCAGCAGGGTGTTTTCAGACTTCTGGTTTGGAAAAAGTCAGGAAAGTGGGAGTGTCCAGCTCTGTTTAGGGGGGAGTGTCGGAGGAGGGAAAGAGGGAAGGTGCATAAACATTAGCATAAAAATGGGGAGTGTCTGTTTGGGCTTGCACTGATTGCAAAACAAACACACAGACGCAGAGGAGAAAGACAGTGACTGTTTACATGGACATCAGCAATCAAATAATTTGACTAATTATTAAATGGTGGACTTTAACTGCTGTTTGGCTCTTTCATTCAGGAATTTCATTTATGCCCCTTGTGACAAATGAGATATTTGATTCGATGAACTGCTGTAAGCGTGTATTTTTAATTTAATGTTTGATACCCTCAGCATTTCTCTGTAATTTAGATGCACTCGGTAGGTAGCATCAAAAAGCCGTGTGTTATTCCTGTCACAAAATGTGACGAAAATCCTACACAAAGGTAATAGTTTGATTTCAGTGTTTACATGTTTACACTCGGAGAGCAGCATTTACAGCAGATCTTTCAGTCTATAGTATTGTAGTGATATTAACGTACTGTAAACTTAGTAACTTACTGAGAAATCATTTGACTAAGGTCTGTCTTTAAACACTGAAAGAGTACTGCTAACGATACGAACTAACTTTGCCATTTGAATAAACAAACAAAGACCACTGATCGCTTACTTACCAAATCTGTAGAGACAGGACAATCAACACCAACTGGGGCCGCGTCTTTATTAAAGGAGACAAGCTGCAAATCCGTATTTCAGCATTTCCAGATGAGAAAAGCTCTCGGGTAAAAAATGTTCCTTAGACATGTATTGTTGTCGCGTGCACTGTAATCCACACGTGAGTCCAGCTGCGCTCTCATAGAGGGAAAATGAAAACAAAAATCTTCCTTGCAGCAAATTATAAAAGCAACACTGACAACCCGTATCTCCAAACAATTCTTCTTCTCCCATTTGTTTTGGCAACACAACGTGGCGTCTCTGTGCTGTCTGAACACTGTACAGGTAAAAGCAGTCTTGGAAGTTACTATGCATATTAATAAACTTGCACCGCATACACAATAGAGCGCGCTGATTGGTTTGAACCAAGTCTTTCTCATGAATGAATGCAGCACACTCAGAGACGTCACAGACAGTCAGTCTACATGCTAGAATACATGCTAAGATCTTATGGCCGTGACGCAGCTTCAAAAATTTGTTTCAAACCGGAAGTACGAATTTGCTCGTAATAACGCAAAAACAACTGACTGATTTAATCTCTGTGTTTCAGACCGGTGGATGCTGCATCAGAAGGGACCAGTCCTGTCCCAGATTCTCTCTGGAGGCGTTACAGCGAGTTTGAGCTCCTTAGAAACTATTTGTTAGTCACTTATCCGTTTGTGGTGGTTCCACCTTTGCCTGAAAAACGGGTATGCAAACAAGATGCTTTGGCCTCTGCCGATTGTAAATGCGATTTGCATTCATATGCTGTAACTGTAACTCATACTTTGTGCAACAGGCGGAATTTGTTTGGCACAAGCTTTCGGCAGACAACATGGACCCTGACTTTGTGGAGAGGCGTCGAGTTGGACTAGAGAACTTCCTGCTGCGAGTGGCTTCACATCCAGTCCTGGCCAGGGACAATATCTTCTATTTGTTTCTCACTGAGGTAGAGATAACTCGCTTATACTGATGAACAAAAGGGTGTAGTCTTCTTGTATAAAGAATATACCAGTTCATTTAAAATGTCTTTAGTTTGTAGTCACTTTGCAGATGAAAATCCTGTCATCATTTACTCTCCCTTCACTTGTCACAAACCGGTTTGAGTTTTTTTCTTCTGTTGAACACAAAGGAAGATCTTTTGAAAAATGTTGGTAACCATTGAATCCCATAGTATTTATTAGCAAGTCAATGGTTTCTAACATTTTTCAAAATGTTTTATTTTGTTTAGCAAAAACAAGAAACGCAGAAAAGTTTGGAACCACTTGAGGGTGAGAAAATGGTGTGTACATTTTCATTTTTGGGGGAACTATCCCTTCAGTGAAGGGTGTATTTATTCTTTAAGTGTGAAATGTTGCAGTTAGAGCATGATAAAAAATCTTCAAATGTCCTCTCAATCCTACAGATGTTATGTTTAGTGTTTTAAGTATTCTGTGACCATCTGAAAATTGTATTATATCTTTTAAAAATGGTAAAATAGGACCTCTTTGTTTTATGGTTAAAGATCTGTAGATCTGTAATTTTTATTTCCATTATAGGTGAAATATAGTAGAATATAACTAGTTTATTTTTTTATTATTATTAAAATTAAATGACAGCCTAGTAGAATTAGAAATGTTCCATCACTGGGAAACATCCATACACACTCATTCACACACATACACTACGGACAATTTAGCTTACCCAATTCACCTGTACCACATGTCTTTGGACTGTGGGAGAAACCGGAGGAAACTCACCCCAACATGGGGAGAACATGCAAACTCCCCACAGAAAAGTCTACTGACCCAGCCAAGGTTCGAACCACCGACTTTCTTGCTGTGAGGCAAAAGAGCTATTCACTGCGCCACTGTGCAGCCGAATTTATGAATTAATAAAGATGATTTATTTCTTGATTACTCAACATAAATCGTTAAAAACTTTGGTGTTTGTAAAAAAAACTGTTTTTGAAAGTGTTTTGTGCTGCATTTACTCAAGCATGTAGCGAATGAGCATTGTTGTAAAATATTACATTTGGTCTTTTTGGTTCCTTTTTGTAATGTAAATATAAAAATGTTACTTATTCTTGTTATAATAAAGCTGAATTTTCAGCTTTACTTCAGTCTTCAGCGTCACACTGCTTCAGAAATCATTATGATATGCTGATTTAGTGTTTAAGAAACATCTCATATTATTTTGAAACACTGAAATTTTCTTCTTGCCATTTTGTGGAAACCTTGATTGCTACATGGTTTTCATCTTTGATGTAATAGTAGTAGTAAAACTTTATTGTCCTTGACAGGAAATTTGTTATGTTGCTGCAGACGTACCATAAAAACAAACAATAAAAACAATACAAAATACCGGAGTTACTATGATTATAATGCTAATTAATATAAACTCTTGTTAAGTATATCCACTGAAACTCGTACAAAGGATTTCTTATATCGATTCAACCTACACTTAGGGACTCTACTGTATTTCTCTTACCAGAGGGAAGCAGTTCGTAATGTGGAAACAAAAAAATCAGTTGGATCATTCGGAATCATTTCCACCTAATTAAGGATGCAATTCTCAAGGAAAACTTGAGGTTTCAAATATTCATCATGCCCAACACTTCTCCATCCTGTCTTTAAGAGATGCATCACCTTAGATTAACACTGTACAGATAGGTTGCCAAACCACACTGTGATACCATATTAAGCTTGTGCTCCATCCCACTTCATTTCGACCATGTTGAAATGTATTTTTTGTTAAAGAATTTTTATGTCTGATATTTCTGTTCAAAATAAATAAATCAAATTATATCTAACAATGCTTTCCAGAACAGCTTTATAAAACAACATCTTACGCTTCTTGTTAACTCCAAAAAGAGGTAACCTATACGAAAATACAAATAAAAAAATACAATCTCTGATGTACACGAGAGCAAACCCACTCTATGTGTGTTCAAAATATATGTAATAGAGCATTTAAAAGATTGTGAAAGGCTGAATAAAGCGTTCATTAAATAAGTCATTACCAATCACAAACTTTGCAATGGTAGTGCAAACCTATTGCTAGCCTTTTTGTGTGTGTGAATTTAAATACCTGAACTGAATTATAGGGATAGTTCAACCAAAACTGAAAATTCACTCACTATTTGCTGTCCCTTAAGTAGTTTCAAACCCTTTATGCGTTTCTTTCTACCATTGAACGCTCAAGAACATATTTTGAAGAAAGCAGAAAACCTGTAACCATTGACTTCCATGGTCGAAAAAACAAATACTATGGAAGTCAATGGTTACACGTTTTCAGCTTTCTTCAAAATAACTTCCTTTATGTTCAGCAGAGGAAAGAACATCATAAAGGGTTTGAAACAAGTAAAGGGTGAGTAATTGATGACAGAATTAACATTTTTGAGTGAACTATATCTTCAGTACATCAGATTTAATAGCCCACTTGGTTTTTAGCATATAAAGAAAAGCAGCAATATTTTAACTGGCTTTTCATGCTGATAATGCCCCTTGTCAGTGTCAGAAATCGCATCCTTTCTCTGCCCCACAGGAAAAAGCTTGGAAGGAAACCGTATTCGAGACAGGATTTCAGGCGAAGGTATATCAGCACTTTCCAGTTCACCGGGTTCTTTCTCTCTTTAAACCTTTACACATGGCTCTGCTGTTTATATATCGCTTCTCCCCATAGGTCAGTATTCGCATGTTGATATGAAGCTGATTAAATATGTGTTGATCTCAGAAAGGGGGTGCTAAGTGACTGAAGTGCTACTGCAGTGAGGAATCTGTTATCAGTTTAAGTAAACAGGCGCAGGAAGTCTGTTAGATCGCTCTGGATCAAACCAGAGTAGCTGTGTTTTATGTTAGTGTACGTTATTATTGCCATATTACAGTGTTTATCTGATCTCAGTCATTTGAAAATGTGACTGTTGTAAGGAGTGGCTGTAATCCTGCTTTACATCTGAACAAACAAACCCCAAATATGGATCCGTCCATTAACATTTGGATTTTGTTCACCTTATAGGCCGACTCCAGAATAAAGGCGTTAAATGCCACGTTCAGAGTAAAGAATCCTGACAAGTAAGTCGCAGTTTTGTAAATGCGTAAAGAAATGGCTGCGCTGTTTGTTGGCTTATGTTGACCTGTATGTGTGTGTGTGTTTCTCAGGAGGTTTGCAGAAATGAAACACTATGGAGATGAGCTGCAGGCTGTTGTTTCACAGCTGCTGAGAGTTCGGGCGGTGAGTGTAAACACAGTCGAATACGCAGAAAATAGAAGTTCAGTCCAGCAAATGCCCAGTCTAAGTAAATAAGTCATGTGGTAGGATGATGAAAGGAATCTAATACAATTAAATGTGTCCCCTTTCCTTAAAATGAGAAAACTAATTAGGCTAAGTATTTAATAATAGTTCTTTTTTCCCTTTAGAGAGCAGCTGATCGCTTTTATGGTGTCTACAAAGTCCATGGAAACTATGGAAGAGTTTTTAGGTATGTTTTCTTTAAAAGCGTGTGCTTGCATATGAATTAATTATATTGCAACCCACATGAATTAAAAAAATATGTGGAAAAAATAAAAAGATGTTTTGCAGAATGTCCACTTTTCCATATATCCTCCATGCTTACATAATATTATACAATTAGATAAGTCTTGTTAAAAAGAGTTTGTGTACATACGTGTGTGTGCGTGCGTGCGTGTGTATGTGTATATATATATATATATATATATATATACACATATATATATATATATATACACATACGCACGCACGCACGCACACACACACACACGCACACACACACACACACTTGTATGTATATATATATATATATATATATATATATTTTTTTTTTTTTAAGATAAAAAGATCAGCAAATAGTTTTATATTGATCTACGGTGACTGTAGAAACGTGAATTTTTATTCAACAATCATATATTAAATAAATGCTGCACTTTTGGATATTTTACTAATCAAAGAATGAAAAAATGTGTCACTTTTCTCCAAAATTGATAAGCAGTCCAACTGTTTTCATCATTGATTCATCATAGTGATACATCAGCATGTTATTACATGTTGCTATATTTTTGATAATTGAGTATTGTAAATGAAGCCTTGGTGACTTTCAAAATTCAATCATTCATTTTCTTTTCGTGTTAGTCCCTTCGTTAATCGGGGGTCGCCACAGCGGAATGAACCGCCAACTTATCCAGCACATGTTTTAAGCATCGGATGCCCTTCCAGCTGCAACCCAGTACTGGGAAACACCCATACACTCTTATTCATACACATACACTACGGACAATTTAGCTTAGCCAATTTACCTAGCACATGTCTTTGGACTGTGGGGGTAACCGGAGCACCCGGAGTAAATCCACACGGGACACGGGAGAACATGCAAACTCCACACAGAAATGCCAACTGACCCAGCTGAGGCTTGAACCAGCGACCTTATTGCTGTGAGGCGACAGTGCACCTACTGCGCCATCACGCGGCCCCTTTTCAAAATAAATAACAAAATTACAAAAAAATGTGCAAACCTTAGATTTTAAATCCAAATGAATGAGATGGTTGACCGCAGAATGAAAGTGTTTATTTTACTTTAATTTACTCACGCTTTAGTTTGAAAATTTTATGGATTTCTTTCTTCTGTTGAACACAAATGAAGATATTTTGAAGAATGTTGAAAAAAAATAGCTATTGAAATCCCTAGAAAGAACAAAAAAATACTATACAATGGTTGCGTCCTCGCCCCAAACATTACATTGTTTGTGTGCAGCATTAGAAAGAAACTCAACCAGGTTTGTAACAAGTGGAGGGTGAGTAAATGATTGTGAATGCAGCCTTGGTGACTTTCAAAATAAATAATAAAATAAATAAAAAATTGTACTTACCTCAGATTTCAGGTCTTAATGTACATTTGCAGTCCCTCTTAGGCCGTACTCACACCAGGTACAGTTGCCTCGAACCGGGCCAAAGCACGCTTGTCCCCCCTCCCGTCTCCCCCGACGGCCCGCGCTCACACCATATCGGGCCTCGGCACGCTTACGTCATCGCTGCTGCGCTGTTCAGAAGCGCTCTCTATGGCAAGCCTTTTTACAGGGTATCTGCACATTTTTTAACAGGAAATTTAAGACCTTTTAAGACCTTTTTAAGTCCTCTAAAATGAAAATTTAAGACTTTACCTAAACAAACAAAAAAAAAAAAAACAGGAAAATGTTCAGTGTGTCAACACAGAATGATGTGGTGAAGTATCGTGGCAAATCTATGGCGGCAAATCAATGCCAATATAAATCGAGCGCAGCGGTGATGTTTGCGCGCGAGGAGAAGTGAACCGTGAGCAGATTACTTGGTTGACTTGTTATCACTAACGCTATTGGCTACTCTGCCTTTCCGGAAGTTAGCCGGGATTGGACGCAGGTTAAAAGATCACGCCGTTAAATATATATACAATTTGCAAGTCATAATCATAAGAAACTTTCTGAGAACTTTATGAGGATTCAATCTCGAGAAACAGTCAAATAATAAAAATTAATCTTCTAAAATAATGACTTGCATTCTTGTAACACTTTCTGAACCCATTTGATTTGTCCGTGCAGCACTTGTCTGGTTTGTTGTATTTTACTTCATTATTAACCACAACAGCAGAGCTCATTATTACACTTGGGGATGATCTTTCTAGGAAATATTGTCTTCAGAAGAGTTTATTTGCGTTTTAGATCTTTCCATACAATGCATACTATATGTGCAGTGCAGCTTTGTATATTATTATAATTGTTAACATTGTTTGTAATATAGTTCAGTGTAAAATATATATATCTATATATTATATATATTTTTCAATCTCATTTTTAGTTAATGATTGAATAACCTGCATATAAAGACTTCAATCAAAAATGATTCACCCAATCAAACATAAAGAATACAGTGACAGACATTCAGATGGGTGTTTATCGCCACCTATTGAGCAACAATTTAATTTCTACAATCTTCGTTTGGCTTTACTCACTATCCATTACATCATTCCACTTCAGAGGCATACAAATACCACTTTCTATACGACAGGCCCACATCTTAAAGGTCACATATGCAGTTGAAGTAAATAAAAATTAGGATAAAAATAAACAGGGGGCTATTATTCAGGCGGGCTAAAAATTCTGACTTTAACTGTATAGTGGAATAACAGAATAATGGCAATATATTTACTATAAACCTTTGTACTTTATGCACTGCATGCATGTATAGCCTATTTTGTATACTATTGTCCATCTAATTTATTCTGACTTGTTCTTCATAGAAAATGAGTCAAGGACAATGAGTCTTTGAAAAAAAAAAAGATTTTTATAAATTTGAACACGTTTGGTTTGAGTTCAGTTTAAATGTAGGTGCTAAACTTCATCAAGTGGTTCAAAACACACATTTAAAGTCTGAATTATTCGTCCTGAATTATTAGCCAATGTATATTTTCCCCAATTTCTGTTTAATGGAGAGATCTTTTGCCACGTGGTATAACTCTCTCTTTCTCTCCCAAGTAATAAAGTTTGTTACAAGAATATATCTCATTATTTTGATATGTCATTATATGACTTGGTCATGATGGTAAGAACAGGCATTATTATGAGATTAATTATTACAAGAAATATCTCATTATTGAAAGTAAGTTCATTCACCTATTATTACTGAGAAAGTAAGTCTATTAGTTTCACACTGTGACATTATGATAAGATATCCTATATATTTTTATTTAACGGGGAAACTAGCTTACCTGCGTCCAATCCCGGCTAACTTCCGGAAAGGTAGAGTAGCCAATAGCGTTAGAGATAACAAGTAAACCAAGTCCCGCCCTATGACTCACAAAAATCCAAAATGTTTTGCGCGAGCAGAGAGAAGAACCAGCGAGCGAGCGGAGAGAACTGATCGCGCGCGCGCGCTGTAGGCATGACCTCGCTCGCGAGAGCGTCCATCGTGCGCACAGATGATGATGTGCGCGTGCGGGACTTGTTTTCTCGCGCTACAGTAGATCAGTTGAGCGCGCTCGAAGATCCCCTATGCGCTCGCGGGCTGTAGTTTACTCGCGTGTAGACCTGTAATCTGCTCACGGTTCACTTCTCCTCGCGCGCAAACATCACCGCTGCGCTCGATTTATATTGGCATTGATTTGCCGCCATAAGACGAGTCGGACATGATTTAAGATCCCACATGAAATTTAAGACCTCCTTATGGAAAATTACAGAATTTAAGACATTTTCAGACCTTAAAAATCGAAAATTTTATTTAAGACATTTTAAGACTTTTTAAGGACCCGCGGGGACCCTGTTTTTAGCATTTAAATCTTTGTTCTGACTCCATAAATATATTTAGAGATATCTCTAATTATATTTTGACTAGTCATAATTATAATTCGACTAGTCAGAATAACAATTAGAGATATCTGCAATTGCAATTGTACTAGTACGAAATCAGATTGGAGATATCTGCAAATATATTATGACTAGTCATATTCCTCCATTGACTTCTATTGAAAAATATTTGCAGATATCTCTAAATGGGTTTTGACTAGTCACAATTGTAATTAGAGATATCTCTAACTGAGTTTTTACTAGTCATAATACATTTGGAGATGTCTTTAATTCGTCATATTTAGAGATATTTACAAATATATTTGAAGATATCTCTTAATTATTTACTAATAGTCGAATTACAGTTTTAGATATCTTGAATTGGATTTTTGACGAGTCAAAACTCATTTAGAGATATCTGCAAATATTTTTTAATGGAAGTCAATGGAGGAATATGACTAGTCATAATATATTTGCAGATATCTCCGTGCTTGAGCGCGATTCAGCGCACTCACACTTCTCAAACGATCCGGGAAACGGGCCTGGGCACGGGACAGATGGCATAGTGTGAGTAGGCCCTTAAAGCGATGGTTGAAAAAATAATGACAGTTTCTATTTTACTTGAATTTACTCGCACTCTGGTTCCAAACTTTTATGAAGATTTTCGGAAGAATGTTAAAAAACTAAGCTGAAAACCCTAAAAAGAATAAAAATTAGTATACAATAGCTGCTTTACGCTCCCACAGCATTACTTTGTGTGCAGCATTAGAAAGAAACTCAAACATGTTTGTACCAAGGGGAGGGGGAATAAATGATGAGAACTTTTATTTTTGAGTGAACTGTCCCTTTAAATCCATACTAAACTCCACTAAACTTGACCAAGTGCTGGAATTAATCAGAGTTGTATAAGCCTAAAATGTAATTGGCAAGTTATTTAAGTCACCACTGTTTACTAAGTGTAACCACAGATACAGGGACATTGGAGCATTTTAAAGCCGTGAAGATCAGTCGATTCATCACCGAATCGCTCGTATGTCAGCTTATAAACAGACTAGCTGATTTTTGCAGCCTTAAAATGCTCTAGTCTCCATGTATCTGTAGCTACACTCGGTAAACAGTGGTGAGTTTGGTGAACTGATGACCTTCACAGCCAATCACACCCATTTTTATTGAGCATGTGAACATAATGGCAAATCAGTAGTGTTTAAAAACGCGCCTAAATGTTAGCGGGAAATGGACATTTTTATAATGTCAGTATTAATTGGTATTAAATTCCAGTATCACGACAACACTAGTTGGCGGTTCATTCCGCTATTGTGACCCCTGATAAATGAGGGACTAAGTCGAGGGAAAATGAATAAATGAATGAATGATAGCAATTCAGTTTATCAGTGTGTGATTTATAGACCATGTGCTAGATTTTTTTCCTCGCAATGTTACAATCACAAAAATGCACCTCATTTTGAGGGAGCCACATATTTTAAAACATGCTGTAAACAGTTTTTGGGAGAAGCTTTTTTGGGGGTAAATCTTCTGCTGTGTGATTGTTTGACTGCGGTCAGCTGCTCTGGTTCAGTGTTGGTCTTTGTTTGTTTTGAACAGCGAGTGGAGCGCCATTGAGAAAGAGATGGGAGATGGGCTGCAGAGCGCCGGACACCACATGGATGCGTGAGTTCACTGCGCTTTATGAATCATTCTCATGTACTTGCAGTTAAAGTCAGAATTATTAACCCTCCTGTTGTATTATAAGAGCCCCTATTATACATTAAAAAGGGTCATATTTTGTTTTTAGGTGTCTCCAACAACAGGCTGATATGCACGCAAGGTCAAAAAACACTTTCATTTTCTTATAATATGCATTTATTTTTAACTAATTATCCCAACAAATCCCATATGATTTGTTCAGCAATTCCTTTGTTCCCAAACCGATCCTTAGCACAGTGCTAATCTGCGCTGATTGGACTGATGACAGTCTGTTGCTATTGGTCGACTGCGTTCAGTGCGAGAAATGCCCACCACGGCTTATCAAGAATATTGAAGTAGTCAGAGTGCAGGGTGTATGTGTGAGCCCAATGCAGGCATGCATTAAAGCAATGCAGTTTAACACCAGCATATTGCTCTATTCTTAACTAGGGCATACATTTAGTATTAATCCACACAGTGGCAAAACTAGTTTGAAACTTGACTGCCAGATGTGTGTAGGAACAGCTGATGGTGGCTATAGCAACGACAAACGGCTGTGGATCATGAGCTCACAAAATAATTTAAATCTGTTAACAAAGCGGCATGCGTCGCGTTTTCAACGTGACTTTAGGTGTGATATGAGAATAGAAAGAGTTTCCCAGACACAGTACAAGCGGTTACAAGTAACAAAACAATTAAATACATAATTTGCAAGCTAGAGAAACAAAGAGGCAACCATTTTAATCGTACTTACTTACACTTATAAAATGGAGAAAGAAACTGGTCCATGAACTGTGTACTGTAAAGTTCCTGTCATGCTCTGACAAAGTCCCATACATCAATAGTCTTTTCTGATCCTTCCTTTAACAAATGGCCAACAAATCTGCTGTTGTAAGTGTGTAGATTACTAAAGCACTTGTCCGAAAATTGATGGAAGTAGCACAAGGCAGGGGCTATAATGCTCAGGTATTTTTGCAAAATTAAACCTCAACCACGGACTCTTCACGGTTTCATCTTTGGGTAGAGAACATAAAACTTATTTTCCCTCACACTTCCAATAATATCCAGCTGAGCACAGCGTCTTCACGACATGATTCAACCGGCATCCTTTACGGTGTTCTTCTTTTTCTTTCTACAGTATTTGTGGGCGAGGCCGCAGGTTTAAATTTTTCCGGGTTTGTGTGCAGAACAAATGGCCGGGGCTTAAGTTTGTATCGAGGTCATGCTGACACGGCTAAAGACTCTTTATCAAGACGATTCATTCAAACCACTATGAGTCAACTCTTTTATAGATGAATCAATAGTTTTAAACGCATCGCACTTTCAGATTTAAGCCTTAGCTGGATATTTCACTTCACTTAGAGCTGTATTACACACTACATGGAAGGTCATTTTCAAAAACCCATCATAGGGACTCTTTAATTCTTTTATAGTTTTTTCAACAAATTGCTTAACATAATAGTTTTAATATCTTATTTCTAACAATTGCCATGATGACAATACATAATATTTTATATGATTTTTTCAAGATACAGATATTCAGTTTGAAGTGCAAGACTAGGTTAATGAGGGTATATAGGTCTAGTCTAGGATTTTAATAATAGGATTTTTTATAAAGAAAGAAAATTTGTAAAGAAAGAAAAAATTAAATCAATGAAAAATTACAATAACATTGGAAATTTCCCTACAGCTCACATTGACAAATACATATAAAGATCAGTTTACATGGTGTAAAGACAAAGGCACAATCCAATTCTCCCAATATTGCAGGTATTTGTCCATTTGTAGTTTAATGAAAAACTTATCCTCTCCATATTTGAACATTAGATACAGTACTATCCACCCATCTGGATTTTGTTGGGGGTTCGAGTTGTAGCCACTTTCGAGTTACAGTTTTTATTGCAGCTGTTTTTAATTGCATTTCTCCTACTTGGGACGATCCCGTTACCCTCCTGGGAGCTCATCGAGGACCCTGAAATATGAAGATGCTTTATGATACACCCCATGATTCTAAATGTGTGTGTTTTTCTGTTAAACACATTTGCCAGATTGATCTGATTCCTCTCAAATTTCCATTCACGTCCCCCCAACCATCATAACAAGTAGCCAGAATGATGCGCCCTTGGGAGGCTCATGTTTTGATTTGGCTGGCAGACCAAGGCGCAAATCTCCCAGAGCCATGGCCAAAACGTTTAGCTATGTTTATTTATTTGATGTTGTGAGAGGGACTTTTTCGCGGTAGTGTCCTTATAGTGAGTCTTTAGCCAGGCCCTGTCATTTCTATTCTGGTTTTGTATTGCTGTCTGCTCTGATGGATTCCAGATTGCTGTACTCGGAGGAAAGGTCAGAGGTCAGAGCCCAGTGCGCTGCCTGTCTGTTTCAGCACTGAAAGAAACAACCTGTCCATCATCAGCCCCCATTCAGCAGCTGTCAGAGTGTTTTATAGATCATGTTGCTTACCTTTTCCCCAGAATTCCTCAAAATACCCCAAACAGACTGTGCTGTGGGTTTGGCATTGGTTGCTCTGGCTCTGCGTCTGATTTAGAGAGAATTATAGACGTAGTTTCACTAGAATGCCAGCTTGTCACATTAGGGATGGGTGGTATGTGCAAAATATTATATCATGCTTACCGTATATATAATAAGATTCAGCTGTTTTATTAAGGCAAATGTAGTGAAAAGTGGTTTATTTGTTAGGTATTAATTGTGGTAAAGTCTATTTATGTGTAATGTGGCAATTTAAATGAAAGTAAGTCATTTATTTTCATATTTATATTTTTTTTTGTTTAGAACGTAATGGAAAGAAACTCTCTGTGCCCTGTGGCATCAATGAGTTTTCTGCCACGAAACTATGCTCATGCAAACTGATAGGTCACCTAATCTGCTCCTGCGTCATTAACTACATCATTAACTCCTGCTGGTACCTCGGCAGCCAATGAGCTTTCTCCTCATCAGTTTAAATGCTTTGCATCATTTTATGCTGTTTAAGCTGCAGCGCATTTTCGGAGAGCCTCTTCTACCTCAGCTCCACCTGTGTTTAGATCTGTTACTGGGGGTTACATGTATATTTGCAGCAGTAGCGTGTTATATTCTCAGAAGGCATGTCTGTGTATATACTGGCAGTAGCAGGTCTCTGTACTCGCTCTGGCATAATATCAAAGCAGCAGCAGCGTAGCAGATGTATTCCGCCTAGCACAAATACATTAACATTGCCATATACATATTATAAAACTAGTGGTTTCAATGTAAATGTGTATTTAAAAGGCCCAAAATGGATGATATGATGCTATCATTAAAAATCTGTGTTTATAGACCTTTTCTAAAATTGTCAAACAAAGAGAACTCAGACAGGCTCCATTTATTGAATCAAATGCATTATGAACTGAAATACTGTAATATACTGTATCTTTTTAACATTAAAGTAAAAATGTTTATGGATCCTTTTCACAAAACTGTTATGACTCAATTACCAGTCATCATAATCCTAAATCCTTAAAAGTTTTTAATATTTTGATTTATTTTAAAATGTATTTGTATAAACATTTATGTATGCATTATATCATCTTTGTGTAAAATTACAAAAGCGAATTACCGCTTATGCGAGGTGTTTCTAATCCAGCATTTATAGGGGCGGGACAGTAAATTTGACGTTATTCTCTCTGGCTGCTGTCATCAGTCTCACACTATTTTTTTTTTCTTTTTCTGAAAGTCTTGATTACACAATCGTGGCATTTTTCTTTTTTTTTAGCAAATAGGATTGTAAAAAAAAAAAAAGATTTCTTATAATCTCCCACTCACTGCGCTCTAAGGCTACGTTCACACTGTGGGGCTTAGTGCTCAAATCAGATTTTTTACTCAGATCTAATTTTTTTGCATGGGTGTTCACGTTGTTGTTAGAAATGTGGCATATATCAGACTTGCAGTGTGAACAGATCATGGTCCTAAACTGACCCGCATGCTCAAAAGTACATTACGGAGAGCACAAAATGTCTAATTATGCACACAATGTGTATACTGTATGAAGTAAGCATGTTGTCAAATTATGCTTAATATGATTATTGGCCTTTTCACAGACAATTGTGGTGTATTTAATGAACTACAAAGCGTTGTGCTGCTACTACTAATGTGTATTTCGGCATTTATAACCTAGAATAAGTCACTTGTGTTTGAAAACACTGATCATTTGTAATGTATGACAACCACGGTGCACACCTTACTGACCACCAATGTATTGAACTTATTATGAAGATGGAGTTGGTTTATCTCTGTTTGCAGAATTATTTCATTTTACTTCAATAGCCATGTGCAGAAGGAGGGTTTGGGTGCTCGATCACCTGCCCTTAACCAGATTGGTTAACAAGCACCAGTTTTGCCTTGAAAAATGAACAGCCATCTTTCTGTGGTAAAGTTATTGCCCTGTGTGCCATTCTACTGTGCTGCTGAGTAGTAGATGATGTTTGCGGCACAGAATAATGATGCATGTCGGCCAAAGATTATGTAAAAGACAGATGAAATCCGACATGACCATTCACACTGCGACCGCATTGCATAACATAAGACCTGTGTCTGACTTAATACTACATATGAAAGTGGCACAAATCTGAATTGAAAAGATCAGATTTCATGCGGTTTGGGCTGTTCACACAGTCAAGACAAAAACAGATCTGAGTCGCATGTTGACAAAAAAGAATTAGATTGGGGCCACATTTGGCTGCAGTGTAAACGTAGCCTAAGTTTACCCAACTATGACAACTTTTGCTACTGAGAAACCCGTAAAAATATGTGAAAAAGGGTCTATTATTCCTGTGCATTCAAATCTTTTTCATACTCTGATGATCCTTCAGAAATCATCCCAATCATTCTTTCTCATTTTTTCCCTATTTAATCTGTGTGCTGTTTGATATTTGCATCAGAAACTGACACTTATAAATATATATATTTTCAATGGAAAGTTTAAATGGATTTTCTGTTGATTTAGATCAATATAATAGTGCTTTGAAAAAATAAATAATAAAAATAAATAAAAGTTTGAAGTAATTTTTACAAAACAAAATATGCACGCTAGTGTGCACATTTCTGTCACCTTATCAGAATCAGAAAGAGCTTTATTAGCCAGGCATGTTCACACATACAAGACATTTGTTTTCGTGACAGCTTCTACAGTGCAACAGAATGACAGAGACAGAACAAAAAACAGATAATAAATATATTAAAATATATTTGGTAATCCTTGAAAATGCTTCTATTTTAATAAAGAGTGTTTTCAAGGTTTTAAAAGTGCTTAGATGTTGGATAAGTGCTTGATGCTGCTTGAAAATGTAATTGTGTTGCTTTCATAATAATTTCCTGCTAAGTAGATAATAATGATTCATTATTTAAATTAAACATTAAAGAATGTGCATATGCGTGTGGCACTGGCTATTTTTATTTGTTTTTATTTTTGCATTCAAGATGGGTAAATTATATTTAAGAGTAAATTACAGTGTTGCTTTGACTTAAAAAACGTGTAAGAACCCTGAGGTAAGCAGTGAATGCAAATATACAAAGTGACAAGTGTATACAGGTATATTACTATCTACAAAGTTATATGTGCAGCTTTTATGTGCAAATTGGCATGTGAAGTATGTTGTCAAATAATTAAGTGTATACTGTAGAAGTCGAATTACGAAGTACTGTAGAATTATTAGCCCCCTTTTGATTTTTTTTCTTTCTATTTTAAATATTTCCAAAACGATGTTTAACAGCAAGGAAATTTTCACTGTGTGTCTTATAATATTTTTTCTTCTGGAGAAAGCAGTTTAAAAAATTTTAAAAACCATTTCAGGGACAAAATTATTAGCCCCTTTAAGCATTTTTTTTCCTCGATAGTCTACAGAACAAACTAATAATTTAGGGGGCTAATAATTCTGACTTCAACTGTATGTGAATAAAAAAGTAGTGGTATTTGTTTTACAATTACTATAGAGTGTCCATGAGATGGATTGCCTGAGGGAAGAAACTGTTCCTGTGTCAGGCTGTTCTGGTACGCAGGAAATGACTATCAGAAAATAACTGTACAGTTGTTTTTTTGTGTTGCAGGTATGCTGCCTCTATAGATGATATTCTAGAAGAAGAGGAGCATTATGCAGACCAGCTGAAGGAGTATCTTTTCTACGCAGATGCATTGCGGTAACATTATTTGCATTGCCTGAATTGCTTCACCTTAAATTAACAGCTCACTGCAAAAGGAGAATTGTGATAATTTCCCTAAACTTCTTAAAAACTGACCTAAAGCATACCAAACACAAGCTGTTATAACAGTAAGGTTAATCTGAAATGTTCTAGAAACTCCCACAGGCTGATTAAGTTACTCACATGCAACTTTTTTCTAACACAAACCCCCATCTGGTTTTCTGAAAGTGATCAAACTGCAGGTCATCTACATTAGGTCTTCAGTTTAACAATTCCCGTAACATACAAACATCTTTATTTGTTTAATGGTCAATTTTTGTATATTTTGTGTGTGTGTGTACTTTGACAGGGCAGTGTGTAGGAAGCATGAACTGACTCAGTATGAACTGGAGACAGCCGTCCAGGATCTGAGCTCTAAGAAACAGCAGCGGGAGGAACTCGCCACCGGGGTCAGTGTCCATTTAGTTACACCAACTCCACTTCACTCCCCTTAAGTCTGGAATGAGGGACTTTCCAGTTAGACTTAATCATTATATTGCCATGTTACATCATAAGTAGGAGTGTGTGATACTGGCAAAAAAATAAGATCTAGTTATTTGGGGATTTTTTTATTACTATTATACTTTAAGCATTTTACTGAGTGTGTTTTTATGCTGGTACTATACCTGTTTCTGCTAGTTTTTTGCAGTAAGTCCCAGTTTTAAAGAGTGATTTATTGAATTAATGGATAGGTGGATCACTTTAATTATCTCAGTATTTAATTAGTTTGAACTGTTGAATAGTATTACTATACTACATGTGCAAGCACACTCTTTTTTTGTATAAGACCCATTTCCTAAAAAGGACAAAGTTTAACTCAACTCATCTTGCTAAATAAATATATAATAACTTGAATTATGTAGTCATCCTAACTGCATTCTAATAGGCTTCATTTGGACTCTTAAGGCTTCTTTTGTGTTTTGACAAGTGACTCTATAACACCAACTGTTAATTACAGTTACAGTAATATTGTAGCTTCCAAATATCACACATGTATATCTATTTCAGGGCTGCACAGTATATCATTTCAGCATTAATATCACAATGTGTGTATCCGCAACAGTCACATCGCAGGATCTGCAATGTTGAGAGATTATAGTTGATGAGCATAACAGTTGCGAACACATGAGTTGTGTGAAGTCATTGCAAAGTACACTGCATCCCGAAAAGTATTCGTAGCGCTTCACTTTCTCCAAATTTTTTTTAATGTTCTAGGCTTATTCCTAGAAAAAAAATATTACTAAAATTCTACACACAATACCCCATACTGACACTATCCCATACTGACAATGATTTTTAAAAATAAAACACCAGAAAAATCACATGTACATAAGTATTCACAGCCTTTGCTCAATACTTTGCTGATGCACCTTTGGCAGCAGTTACAGCCTCAAGTCTGTTTGAATATGATGCCACAAGCTTGGCACACCTGTCTTTGGGAATTTTCGCCTTTTCCTCTTTGCAGTACCTCTCAAGCTCTATTAGGTTGGATGGGAAGCAACAGTGTATTTTCCGATCTCTTCAGAGATGTTCAATAGGATTAAGGTCTGGGCTCTGGCTGAGTCACTCAGGGACATTCACAGAGTTGTTGTGAAGCCACTCCATTGATATTTTGGGGATGTGCTTTGGGTCATTGTCCTGCTGGAAGATATACTGTCGCCGTCTACAGACAATTCCTTTGTCTGCATGCTTGGTTTGTGTTTTGACATGCACTATCAACCCTGGGACCTTATATAGACAGGTGTATGCCTTTTCAAATCATGTCCAATCAACTAAATTTACGACAGGCCAACTCCAATTAAGCTGCTGAAACATCTCAAGAATAATTAGTGGAAACGGAATGTACCCGAGCTTAATTTAGAGCTTCACGGCAAAGGCTGTGAATACTGATGTACATGTGATATTTCAGCTTTTTTATTTTTAATAAATTTGCAACAATTTCAAAATTTCTTTTTTCATATTGTCATTATGGGGTATTGTGTGTAGAATTGTGCTGTATTGTGTGTGTATTGTGCTGATTGTTTATTATTGTGAATCATACAAATAATATAAAATCTTACAAAAACCCAATCAATCTTAATTAATTTTTTCCCCACAAATAGCTATTCAAGCCATCTGGTGAACTGGTATTCATATCACAATATATTTAGCACAAAAACAAAATATTGCAATCGTGCAGCAGTAATATATCAAATCCAGCATTTACTTTTGAAACACAGTCCTAAATTTAGATCTTTTTGGCCAAAATTTAGTGATCTTTGTGTCTTTGAGTTTGTATGCTATTGAATTGAATTTTAATGTGGCCTGGTCCTTTGCGTAAATTAAGACTACTTATCATTGGTTTATTTTAATGTAAACATTTAAGCAGCACAAAAAGCCAATGATACACACACACAACTTTCTGACCCAATTAGCTGATATGGCCAATTACTAGGCTCACTTGTAGAAAACAAAATGTGAGAAAACATCCATAATTCAGCTTTCTGCTCATAAACATGGGAGTAGGAGTTTGTGGCTTGTTCCATCCATTGGATGTCATTGACTTTTTTGTTTTCTCATGTAGACGGTCCGGACCTTCTCTCTGAAGGGAATGACCAGTAAACTGTTTGGACAAGAGACCCCAGAGCAGAGAGAGGCCAAGCTGAAAATGCTGGAGACACAGATTGAAGAAGGAGAGGAAATGGTCAAAGACAGAAATGTAGAATGCGAGTAAGCTCTGCACTATACTCTCAGCTGATTAAATAGGTTTTTGCAGACAGCAACAGAAGACATGATATCGCAGACCATGCTTTCTGTTGCTGTCGGCCAAACCTATTGGTAGAATTGTATTTTGAAGATCACCAGTGAGAAGCTTAAACCTAATTGACCTAATTTACATTTTTTAATTTTTCGCCACATTAAGGGGTTGGGGTGAACCAGGCTTATTCAGTTTTAAAAATGTGTAGATCTGAGGATCGGCTGTTTGGTTAATCGATTTTGGCATCCTACGATTATGATAAAACAATAGAGATTAAAACGATTATCCAGCCCCCTTTCCAGCAATCCGCATTCATTCCCGATTCATCTTAACAAAGCCCAGTTTCAAATGAATATCGATAAAATCATGTAATGTGGCTTTTGCAGCACATGACGTGCTTAATTTATTCATTCATTTTCCTTCGGCTTAGTCCCTTTATTCATCTAGCTGAATTAATCGCCAACTTATCCAGTATGTTTTACATAGCGCATGCCCTTCCAGCTGCAACCTAGTACTGGGAAACATCCATACACGCATACATGCATGCCAATTTAGTTTATTCAATTCACCTGTACCGCATGTCTTTGGATTGTGGGGGAAACCCATGCAAACACAGACGCAAACTCAAACCAGCGACCTTCTTGCTGTGAGGCGACAGTGCTAACCACTGAGCCGCCGTATTGAAATTTATTAGATTTATTAAAGTATTTAAACCGTAATCGCTTATTTGCTATGTAATAAATTAATGTAAAGAGTTGAGAATGGAAATGCACATGTAACTGTAAATTAGATCTGTGCAGCACTTAAAAGTGACTTAAACTTTATTCATTCATTTTTCTTCGGCTTAGTCGCTTTGGCTTAGTTGCCACAGCGGAATGAACCACCAACTTATCCAGCATATGTTTTACACAGCGGATGCCCTTTCAGCTGCAACCCATCACTGGGAAACATCCATACACACTCATTTAGACTCACAACACAACTGTGGGGAAAACCAGAGCACCTGGAGGAAAGGAAACCCACATGAACATGGGGAGAACATGCAAACTCCGCACAGAAATGCCAACTGACCCAGCCAGGACTTGAACCAGCGACCTTCTTGCTTTGACAGTGCGAACCACTGAGCCACCATGTCGCCCCTGACTTAAATATAAAAAAAAAGCCAAACACACAAAAATAATATAACAATATTGTGAAAGTCTGACATGTTATTTAAGTTCTGATTAAGATCAGCTTTTTTTTTTTTTTTTTACCCAACACTGGTTATATCCCCAACTTATAATCATTTTAAATAATCCTGATTATAATATTGACTAAAATAACTATGATTATGGGAAAAATCTTAATTGAGAAGCCCTATCTTAGGCTGTAGTAACTAACATCAGGCTTCATTATAATTAATAAATACAGTATGTAGAATAAAATCTGTCTTTTTGTGTAGAGAGTTTGTGAAAGGTGCATGGACGGACATTGAGAGGTTCAAAGAGCAGAAAGACCATGATCTCCGAGAAGCTCTCATCAGCTACGCCATCATGCAGATCAGCATGTGTAAAAAGGTGAGCATGGAGAGAACATTTGATCATGACCGAAAAAAAATAATAACATTTATTTAAGCAATAAAATAAAATACATATTATTTGTACTATTTTAAGACACAGGACTGATGTGTTAATGTAATCCTGCTTCATTTGAAGGGAATTCAAGTGTGGAACAACGCTAAAGAGTGCTTCAGTAAGATGTAAGTGTTCGAGCAGGACAACCAGAACACCAGGGAGGCCTTGGAGATGTCAATCCAGAGAAGCACACACTCCTAGAGACTGACCATGGGGACTAAAGTCTTCCTCTCTATCTTAAACTTTTGTCAGCCTCTTGCACCAGATGCTCTGGTGAATAAAAGGTATCGAATATTGACATACACTAGTTTCAGAGTCCAAATAATGAATAAATGGGGTGCTGTTTTATTTATTTCCATGTTTACCAGATAGATTTCTGATCTGGTTACTTTTGTGAATGCACTATTCTGACCTACACAAGAGCTTGTGCAGATAACAGACAATTAATGACTTAACGCTTCAGACAATACAATGACTTATTATTGATTAATCTGGAACTATGTAATGATTTTTGTATGATTTGTTGTCTTTTTCTTTGCCTATCTTCATGCTTTTTGATGCCAAAATAATTCATTTTTATACTTTTCATTTTCTTTTTATTAAATCTAGTCAATCATAAAACACAAAAGCACATTTAAATTGTCAACATAAGGGTGTGTATTTTATGAGGGGGAAAAAAGTTGTATTTTTATCATACCCCTCACCCCACCCCACCCCATAATGGTGGTCCCGCACATCTGGAACGTGTCCAGTTTCTAGTTTTCATGCGTAATGATCTTTATCATCTGGCACGGAGGACACCAAGAGTCAGATTTCCTATGAAAAGTAAAGTAACTGTTCTTATTCACATGCAAACTAAATTGGTCCTGACGCCCATACAGCAAACAAAGTGCATAAATTCATCATAGTTTGCTGCTCTGTCACTTTTCTGCACGTTCAGCCATAAAAGCATAAGCTGTTTATGACCACCGGCCCCCTCCCTTTCTACGGTTCAGTTCATCTGAGAAATATTAATATGCTGTTTATGCCTTATTCAAGAATAACTGCATATTTTCTTCACTATGAATGCCATATTTGTCATGTGTTATGATGAATGGGTGGGGTCGATGTTTTGATATAAATCTGGCTGAAGGAATACGAATGTCACAGGAAAGGCAGGATATTACAATTTCCACATTTTAGAGTAGCATGAGCAACTCAGCCTGGTCATTGGGTTCATTTTTTGGGGGTGGAGATGATTATTTGTATATAAGCTGTTAAAATCATTGTTGTGTAACACTAATGGTAATAATAATAGTAATAATAAAGTACCATTATCACTTGGCTTTTGTTTTGTTGTGAGGGTCTTTTCATTTGTTCACTTTAAACTAGAAATGTAACCATGGTATATATCTCTCTGAGCTCGGCATAGTTCGGTTTAAGTTTAAAACTGAAAATATGCAGTATATGATGCATGGCATAGGGAGTGATGTAACATATGAAGTAAACAGGTGACAGCACTGTCGCAGTAGGTAGTGCCGTCGCCTCACAGCGAGAAGGTCGCTGGTTCGAGCCTCGGCTGGGTCGGTTGGCGTTTCTGTGTGGAGTTTGCATGTTCTCCCTGTGTTCGCATGGGTTTCCTCCGAGTGCTCCAGTTTCCCCCACAGTCCAAAGACACGCGCTACAGGTGAATCGGGAAGGCTAAATTGTCCGTGGTGTATGAGTGTGAATGGATGTTTCCCAGAGATGGGTTGTGGCTGGAAGGGCATCCGCTGCATAAAACATGTGCTGGATGAGTTGGCGGTTTATTCCGCTGTGGCGACCCCTGACTAATAAAGGCATCTAAGCCGAAAAGAAAATGAATTAATGATATGAAGTAAGCAAGTTAAATATGTGTTGTATTACGGTTACCTATAAACCGAGGTTGGAGTGACAGGATAAATTATAACAACTTTTAGCATAAGGTATCATCTGTACAGCTAAAAAAGAGTGTTTTTTTCACAGAACTGTAGAGATTTCCACTGCCTCAGCCATTTTCTCTGAAGGAATCTTCTTTTGTTTCTGGGTCGTAATGCCTCCCTCTAGTGGTGTTTTACTTAAGAACCGTGTAATAAAACGAACCAATGTACAATTGTTGGGTTGCATTACAGCCAGATTTAGAACAGATTTGTTTTCACAACAATCAATATAAAATATTCTGAATTATTTCCTATGGATTTATTTCTCCAATTAATTAATTAATTGTTTAATTGGTTATTTTTTATTAATTATTATTATTATTAATAATAATAATAAAAACTAGTGATAGTAAACTATAGTAATTGTATAAGAGTCAAGATTATGTTTTTCGTTCATTAAAAAATATTAGTTAAGAGAAACCTTTTCTTTTAGTATTTGTATTAAAGAGAGGGGGAGATAATAAAAATAAATATATAAAAAATAAACTTGCCATCATCTCCGTACATTGATTATTCAACCTCTTAATATGTTAAATAGGTGTTAAATAAAGAGTTGATAAAATTTTTTTTTACCATTATTTGTACCATATATTTTTTTCAATTCTTCTTTAAACGGAAGTCAATTACATACACATCCATCCAAAGCAGCAATCAGAGGATGCATTTATATATATATATATATATATATATATATATATATATATATATATATATATATATATATATATATATATATATATATATATACATACATACACACACACAGTTGAAGTCCGAAATATTCACCTTCCCTTTGAATTTATTTTTTCTATTTTAAATATTTGCCAAATGATGTTTAACAGAGCAAGGAAATTTTTACAGTATGTCTGATAATATTTTTTCTTCTGAAGAAAGTCTTATTTGTTTTATTTCGGCTAGAGTAAAAGCAGTTTTTTTAAAATGCCATTTTAAGGTCAAAATTATTAGCCCCTTTAAGCTACATTTTTTTTTCTGATCGTCTACAGAACAAACCATCCTTATACAATAAATGGCCTAATTACCCTAACCTACCAAGTTACACTAATTAACCTAGTTAAGCCTTTAAATGTCACTTTAAGCTGTATAGAAGTGTCTTGAAAAATATCCAGTCAAATATTATTTACTGTCATCATGGCAAAGATAACAGAAAATGGAGAAAAAATAAACAGGGGAGCTTATAATTCAGAGTGTTTAATAATTCTGACTTCAACTATATATATATATATATATATATATATATATATATATATATATATATATATATATATATATATATATATATATATATACATAAAATAAATTCATATCTCTCTCTCTCTCTCTCTCTCTCTCTCTCTATATATATATATATATATATATATATATATATATATATATATATATATATATATTCATAAATTCATATACAGTTGAAGTCAGAATTATTAGCCCCCTTTTGATTTTTATTTTCTTTTTTTTAAATATTTCCCAAATGATGTTTAACAGAGCAATGAAATGTTCACAGTATGTCTGATAATTTTTTTTCTTCTGGAGAAAGTCTTATTTGTTTTAATTCAGCTACAATAAAAGCAGTTATTAATTTTTAAAAACCATTTTTGGGAGAAAATTTTTTAACCCCGTTTAAGCTCATTTTTTTCGATAATCTACAGAACAAACAACTGTTATACAATAACTTGCCTAATTACCCTAACCTGACTAGTTAATTAACCTAGTTAAGCATTTAAATGTCACTTTAAGCTGTATAGAAGTGTCTTGAAAAATATCAAGTAAAATATTATGTACTGTCATCATGACAAAGAGAAAATTAATCTGCTATTAGAAATACGTTTTTTTAAAACTATTATGATTAGAAATGTGCAGAAACAATCTTCCCTCCATTAAACAGAAATTGGGGGAAAAAATAAACAGGAGCGCTAATAATTCAGGGGGGCTAATAGTTCTGACTTCAACTATATATATATATATATATATATATATATATATATATATATATATAGAGAGAGAGAGAGAGAGAGAGAGAGAGAGAGAGAGAGAGAGAAAAAAGTCACACAAGAAAATTTTTTTACACCCGTCACATCCATAATGAAGCTTTTCCTTCTTAAATGCAAAATTGTCAAATAAAATAAAATCAATCATGTTTGTTTTATAGAGAGCTGACTCTTATCCTTTCGATTAGCATTGTTTCTTTTGGGTTGTGCAGTTTAATTCACGGAATTTCTACAAAGTGTTGTATACTGTAAACTCACAGACTTTTTTTTTTGGTCACATCCATAATGCATGTTTTTTTTCCTTATTTAAAATAAAAAAACATGTTTACAGATTGATTTTTCTGATCCATTAACTCTGATTAGTTGTTTTGGAAAATATAAAGGGATGTTTCAATATAATGTTAACATACTTTCCATGTGAATTTATGTTTTGAGTTTTTACAGCAAATGTCACATCCATAACGCTGGAATTGCTCATATATGTATTAAGATCAAGGGTTTCAGTTAAGTTTAAACATGGTAACTAAGAATAAATTCTGCAACAGTTCATGTTAGCTAATGCATCGAATAATGTTGACAGAATATACCTTGTAAATTATTAACGCTACAAAATGCTTAAAATATACTTAAAAACAAGCAAACTCCACCAGCCACTTGAGTCTCGTTTGAGCGGGTCCGCTGCGATCCCAGAATGCATCACTGCGCAGCTGCAGATGGAATGTAGCTCGCTAGCCTCGTATGCTAGCCGCAGCACCACAGTAAAGTTTGACAAACACGTCATGAGCGGCTCGAACCCGCAGCCAGCGTCGCACTGACGACACATGCGGTACGTATACTTTTCATCCGCGGGGCACTGTGGGACAAACCGCCGTCAAAATGTCTGCAGTCCGACCTCTGTGCGCGCGATGAAATGGCAGCATATTAGAGATGGAGATCGGGCCGATTTGAAACTCTGCGTTAACATGTTAAAATCCGTCGAGGCTGTTATTAAAATACGTTAGTGTCGTTAAGCTTACGTCAAATGAAACGAGCAGCTAGATCTGTGACAGCGGCAACAGGCAGCTAGTGTTGTGAAGGAGTGTTGTTGTAAACACAGTCCGGTACTTTCAGTTCATTTTGTAGTTCGTAGACTTCTGTATTATTATCAAGTCTTGCATGAGTAAAGCTTACACTCAAATATGCGGTTATTTTGTGGGTCGCCATAAGTATAGATTAATGATTGACTTGTCATATTGTGTATTACCTGACAATTTCAAAGTCTGACCAAATTGAAGTGTTTGTTTAGTGTAGTTCTTTTTTCATCTAAACGATACCTAATATATAGTTTTTGCTTTATTAAGGTCAGATTTGGCTTAGCTACTCAATATGAAAACAAATGTCTTGTATATGTAGTCACTGTCTCATCTGGTTAGAGGCAAAGAGTTACCATATGCATGCCGTAATATGCTCCTATTGGCCTGTGGAATAAGCAAATAATTATGTGTAAAGATGTTTTACAATGTTCATTTGTATCCTGGCTTAATAATTCATCATGATCAGGCATGTTTAAAAAAAATGGATGCACAATATGAGGTCAATAACATTGGGAAATATAGCTGAAAAATCTTTATTTGGTTAAGCTACCCAAAAATAAATTTTAGCTGTTTATTTATTCACCTTTCAGCCATCGGAAATGTACTGTAGGTAGGGCCAGGCTGATAAACGTTATTATATTGAATCACGATACAACTTCTGCCAATAACAATCATAAGCTCTGGACTTTTTTTTTTTTTACTATAAATTGATCTAAGAGCCAATCACACAGCAGAAATGTGCAACAATAGGAATTTAAAAGTGTGTTGATATTGTACCGAATATGTACCAAGTTTTTACAGCCACCAAAACTTTATCGGCTGAAAGTGTTTCCTTTAAATGGACCCTTTATTTTTTGTGGCTTCAGTAATTGTTTGTGTACTCTTTTAAATATGGAAGCATTAACAACTAGTAGCGAAATATTAGGGCTGGGCGATTAATCGAAAAGCAATCGAAATCGACATTCAGAAACTATAATTCAGAACTCTAATTTTGCCAGGTCAATTTTTTCATATACTTTCCCTAGCGGCCCGTGTGTGGAGTCACCATGACCCCATTCTGTTAAGGTGAGCTGATTTATACTTATTATTATATTATTATACATAATTATTATAATATTATGATATTATGCTTCTGCCAAACGCATGCAATATGATCCAGCACAGCCTTTACATACACCCGCACCTCTCAAAAAAACTTTAACTACACTTCACAACTGTTACAACTATACATTACTGTACAAAACCTGTCACTATATGTAACTTGTAAACTATGATGGCAAAAACTTAAAATAGATGAAATAATCGTTCATTATTATTCAAATTAAAATGTTCAATTAATCGAGATTTAGATTTTAGGCCAAATCACCCAGCCGTACAAAATATTGTTATCGCTATAAAAGAACGATAAATAACGATATTGTTATCATTCCATATGGAAAATAATTACCAGGAGTCTGGATTTTAATAATGGATAGAATATATATATATGCGTTTGGTGGATTATTATATTCAATGGATATAAATAAGTGTTTTGAGGCCTGTCAGTGTGACTCTCAGTGTGAATGAGGGTTTTAAAAGCATTCAGGCTTAAGAAACTACCTTTTGTACCTTTGACAAACTAGCAAATAGCAATGATTAATTTTATTGAAATTGAATTGTTTATAAAAAGATTATACAATGTTATTATACATTTGATTATTTAATTACTGTATACCAGTTCAACTCCATAGAAAACAAAACACTTTATTAAACAAACACATCTAAAAATATATTTTAATTTGTATCTTTGTTTTTTTAATTTGTACCTGTAGATTGTTTATATTGTTTGCACTCCTATACAGAATCATTCCGATCAGTCAAAAATAGGCAATTGTTTTCAAGTAGTTTTTCAAGTCAAATTTTATTAATTTCGCAATTTATATCGCAGAATAAAAAAAAATATTGCAATGTTAGATTATTCCATTATCATGCAGCCCTAGTAGCCATTGACTTGCATTTTATAAATCATCAATGACCACGGTTTAAGATAAATCATCAGGTTTTACGGAGAACAAAATCACCTACAGAACAACTTGTAACAGCAAGTGAAGAGTTCAGATACAAAATCTCTAAATTGCATCTAAAATGTCCTCCTAAATTGAGCATTTCTCTCAGCGTCCTATATTTATGTTCAGTTATTTCACTTTAAAGACAATTAGAAGAACTACTTCATCACTATAAAAGTAAAATTACAGTCCTCACACAGGAGTTGTGGTAATTTGGTATTTTTGCATCTAAACTCTTCAAATGTACTTTTCTGATTGAGCTCTCTCTTCAAGCGTATGATATTGCTTTTTGTTTGATGGTTAGTGTTAAATCAAGCCATATTTATCCATGTAACGCTTTATACATCACATGTTGTATAAAAGCTGCTTCACAGTAATAAACAGGAAAATAACTGTCTATGATGCAAAGCTCATCAATTATGAAACAAGCGCAATTTCAGCTCTACAGAAGACAATAGTATCCTTGTTCAAGTTAATTCAATTCATTGTGTCCTCATCCAGCAGTGTTAGATTGATAATATTCTCTGAATATTAATTGTCTTATAAGCCCCGTTTAATCAGTTAGAAATTCTATATTACAAACCAATTTGTGTCAGCTCATTTGTAATGAGGCTTAAGGCACAAATCTGACATAAAATGGCAAGAACGCTTCTTTATTAAATTGCATTATGCTCCAGTGGCAATTCTGACAATGACTGTTCAAGACATTTCAAGTCAGATTAGGTTTTTTGTCATTTCTTCTCTTTTGCCTAGCAGGTGCTGAAAATTATTTTTTGCTTTATTTTGTGCATAAAAAGACAAGCTAGACCAGTATAGAGTGGAGGAACTATGACGTCACCTTGTAGGCAAATCGGCTGCTAGCATAAAACTTGTTCCCTTGATAAAATCTCTATAGGATTTTCCCATAGACTTTTTGAAAATTGCAAATAAAAAGCTCTGTTCAAACACAGTTCATTACACTTACACGTTTTGTCTAACTGGATAATCCTCACACGCAATAACTTTTATCACTTTTGGATCCTAAATGCAAATGCAAGAACTAAAAAGCTAACATTAGGCTATAAACGGACTACACTGACTTCAGGACGCTACCTACAACTTTTCAAGTTTATTTTTAGAAAAATGGTCCATGACAAAGATTTACTCTCTTAATTTAGTATATCATAATCCATGCTATATAAACAAATAATTAAAATACAGGTATTAAACATCCATCGTTGTTTTTACGGTCTCTGAAAGGGAAAGCCTTATCTACACACAGTATTAATGACCAATTAGAAAAATACTACAAACTGTTAAATACTTAACCAAACAGCAGGCAAATCCAAATGCCCGACACAAGCTGTAAATTTAAACAGGCTATGCTAGACAGATCAGCTCAATGATGTGTAATGTCTCCGACATCGCCTGTAGTCCCATTTAGCAACTTGATAGCAAACGTCTTTTTAAAGAAGCATAACTGATTTAAAAAATCAAGAGTGGGGTCGTTACTGATGTGTTTTATGTCGTAGAATAAATTGTGGAAGTATCATGAGTTTGTGGTAACGCGATCCCTTGTCCCAAAGTCAATGGGTTTTTGAATGGGAAGCTAAACTGCTCAGATGCTTACTCGCTTTTTTCAACCGAAATGTGAAGACAGGGTGGGACAGACTAGTCTCACCCCCTTTTAAAAAAACAGCCACTAGTGTTTCATTTTTATCACAGCTTTGCAGTGAGAGTGGTTGAGCTTAAGCGCTTTTTGCAATAGCAATTTTGCTGCATCCCAAATGGCACACTATACACTGCACTTATGCACTATGTACTTATGTGCTTACACACTCAACAGCGTAGTTTATGTAGGTAGTCATCCCAAATAGAACACTAACTTTTTTCAACTAAGCTGAAATTCAAACCGTTTCCCAGATGATGTTTAACAGTGGCCAAATTAGCGAAATAAATGACCAAACTATCATGAGAATAACCGCATTCACCATCAGGAGGTGCTTTAATCACTCTAATAGGAGAATTTTGCTTTCACAATCCAAAAGAAATAAATTAATCCAACATCAGTGCCCAAAAGCTCCGCCCCTTTATCAGTAGCTCCGACCTTCCTCTATTTGAGCAAAGCAGTTGAGTGTGTGAAGTGTTCAACATTCCACACTTATTTTTTAATAGTCGAATAAGTGCATCATCCGGGTATTTAAAGTGCACTTTATCTTTTCTGAGTTTTCAGTGTGAGTGCGCTACTTACAGTATTTATACTACAAAATGGCATAGAATAGTGCATAAGTATGCGGTTTGGGACGCACCTTATGTCTTAAGGGGGCGGGACATTTCAGATACTACCGAGCTGAGCATTTGATTGGTCAGATGATTTGATGAGAAACTGAAATATGAGGTTCTATTAAAAATGTTGATCCATTTAGGCAGAAGTGACCAACTGCAAGCTTTCTATCTTCCTAATGCGAATTATGTGACCGTTTTGAAGCATAGTATCTTTTAGATATCCTTAAGTCTAACATACTGATACTAACATCTAAAAAAAAAAAAATTATTTTGAATTCACAATGACTTAAGCAATTAAAGTCCCAATGGTGAATTTGGTTGTACATATTATTGGTACTGCTTATTCATTTGGTCATTTATTTGAATAATTTGGTGACCGTTCAACATCAACTGGGAAATGGTTTTAAGTTCTGGTTAGTAGAAAAACATTAGTGTTCTATTTGGGACACACTTCAGTGCATAAGTGTATAAGGGTATAGTGTACAGTAGTCAACATTTGAAGTGGTTTAAAACCTTGCATCAAAGTTGTCTTTAAACTACCGAACAGCACTCAATCTTGTCTTATGAACAATTTTGAAAAACGTTTTTGATCCACTTCAAATGTTGATTACAGTATAGTGTCATTTGGGACACAACTTGTATTTGTATTCATTAAAGCACAAGATGCTTTTTGGATTTTTTTCAAATCATGCTGGAGGACATGAATCCACCAGGTTGTGTTTAATTTATACTCAAATTTGTTGTTTCTCTCTGTCAGGTTGACGTTGGAAAGGTGCCGTGTTGACTGCTGATTGGAATCCCTATGTTGGTTCTGTAACTTCAGCACAACTGCTCAGCGTTCAGCGATGAACATTGATGACAAGCTGGAGGGCATGCTTTTGAAATATAGCCCTGTGGGGCTTCAACACCCTTCCAGAGGTTTGGGACCCTCGAGGGTGGATGGAAGAGGAAGAAGAGGCAGTTTGGATATGACTCTTGGGGAGCGCAGCTTGGCGAATCATCCACTTTTGGCAGAGGATGATGATGACGAGGATGAGGAGGAGGATGATGACGATGACCTGGCAGGTGAAGGCCTGACCTCACATGACCTGATATCTCAGGATGACCTGATGGTGCATGAGGAGACGGTCAAAAATGATGGACAGGATGAAGCAGCTTTCTCACATCGAATCTCCAATAAATTACACTATACACTCAGTATGCCGGTAAGTGTGCAGTTGATCAGTCACTTGTACTTGTGCAGCTTTGTCAGTCCACGTAAAAAAAGTAAATGTCGGGTAAAATAAGTGTGCATTTATTTTCAGTAAATAATTTATTGTAAACAAATTGAATTTTATTGTTAAACTTTACAAAATGTATTTAAGTTTTATTGTAGTATTTGTGGTGTTTTGGAGATACTCATGGTTCAAGATAGGGTTGGGTCGATAGATAATGCCATCGTCCGTCGCCGATAGAGACGTCACAATGCTGAGCCAACATTGTGATCCTCCGCCCCGCCCCTGTCGCAGCAGTAAGTTGTTGGCGAAAAATACACACTTTGGCCCCGTTTACACTAATAAGTCTTTATTTTAAAATGACATTTTAGAACGCAAATGATCCACGTCCACATTGTACTGTTGAAAATGCACATCACGTGACCACACACACAAACACAGTGGCTGTTTCTCAATTCCAAGAACACAGAGAACGGACTTGTGTTCTTGTGGAGACCGGTCTTGCCAGGTATCCTCAGAAGAACGAACTCAGGAGACCGCAAGGACAGAAAGCGGGTCCTTTGAGAATTGAGATGCTGCGTTCTTTCTGATGGTCACATGACTTTCACGTGTTTTAAGCGGTAAATTATTTAAACATTACAGCACTCATACAACGATTTATTGTTTTTCCCCTTTTCAAAATATATACTGTGCATAAAACATTATAAATCTATGTTGCACAATATAAATAAAACAGATTTTAATACGAATTTCAGCAAACAAACACCCTTAATGTGTTTATTCCTTTATTAAGATGTCCATGGTAATGTTTACTTTCACTGTTTCATTTAGGGAAACTCCTGAGGTAAATAAGTCATATCTCTGAACTTTAATAATAAATCTAAATAAAATGCTGCGCTTCCCACCTCCAGTCGCAATGACTTCTGGGACTTCCAGAGCGAGTTCGGTGCTCAAGTCTGCATCGTTGCGTCCTAGATATCAAGATCATAAGTTTCACGCGTCCTCCGTACTTGCGGTCTTAAAGGGTCACGAAACACCAAAACACATTTTTTGAGCTGTTGACAGTCGTATATGTGTCCCACACTGCTAAAAACACTATTAGGACACCTATATTTCACTAAAAAGTGTAAATTGGTTGTTTTTGCGTTATTTCAAGCAAATTCGTACTTCCGGTTTGAAACAAATTTTTGAAGCTGCGTCACGGTCATGACATAATAGCGTTGTATTCCAGCGTGCAGACTGGACGTCTGTACCAGAGTGTCTTATTACGTCTTACAGTGTGATGCATTAATGCATGAGTAAGGCTTGGTTCAAACCAATCAGCTCGCTCTATTGTGCAACTTCATTAATATTCATTAGTGTCACCGTGTTTACACGACAAAGACGCCACGTTGTGTTGGCAAAACAAGCGTGAAGTGTTGCTTTTATAGTTTGCTGCCGTTAAGTTTTGTTTTCATTTTCTCTCTGTGGGAGCTCAACTGGAGTCACGTGTGGATTAACAGTGTACGCGACGCTCGACAACAATAACTTACATGTCTAAGGAGGATTATTGTTTACCTGAGAGCTGTTCTCATCTGCAAACGCTGAGATCCAGATTCCCTTGTAGTATTCTCTTCATAAAGACGCGGCTCTAGTTGCTGGTGATTGTCCTGTCTCTACAGATTTGGTAAGTGAGCGACCAGTGCTCTTTGTTTATTCAGTTTGTTCGTATCGAACTAAGTTAACTATTGCACCGAGTGTAAACATGTTAGCACCACACTCATACTCACCTGCTGAGAGCATCTAAGTTTCCGGGAAATGCAGAGGGTTTTTTCTATCATTCGCCGTGCGGTATTAAACATTGCATGAAAAATACACGCTTAGAGCAGTTCCTCGAATCAAATATCTTGTTTGTCGCGAGAGGCATGAATGAATTCCCTGAATCAAAGAGCCAAACTGCAGTTAAAGTCCAACATTTAATAATTTGGCAAATAATTCGCCTACAAATGTCCATGTAGGTTAAACACCATTACTTTCTCCTGTGTGTGTATTTTGACTCTGAAACTCGCGCATGCCCAAATAGACACTACCACACCATCCCACTTTAGTTCCTCCGACACTCCCCCCTAAACAGAGCTGGACACGCCTACTTTTCTGACTTTTTCCAACGTAGAGGTGTGAAAACACCCTGCTGAAACGAGGGGGTTTCATGGCCCTTTAAGTATTGGAACTGAGCTTGGGCAGCTGATGATGACGTTGCACGAGAACACGAGGACGCAAGACCGCTGAAGAACGCATATTGAGAAACAGCCACTCTGTTGTGCTGCTGCATATACGCGAGTCTGACTGAGCTCCAGCAGTCAGCTAGCACGTCGGACAGTTTATCAAGGATGTATCGCTGGATCGCTTCTCACTATTGTTATTAAAAGTGATATTTAATTAATCTTGTCATTAACGTCTTTTAAACCTATCAGGTATTGTGTCACTGTCAATACACTGCTTCAAACTATCGGTTTCACGCCTGTACTTAGTCATTTTAGTAAAAACCTCAGATACTGTTGGCTTGTTCCTGTTGGTTGTGCACCTTTTTACCAACCAAGTTTGTCAACGCCTATTTAATGACACAGATCACTCTGCCTATTCATGCCAGAGTCCCGCGGAAACAGTTATTGACAGGTGGCAATTGGTGTGTAACTTATTTTTATTTATTTATGATTTGGTTATGGGTAAAACAAAGACCATTTGTTCAGGTAGTTGACCAAGAGGTCAGGTAGTTGAAACGGCAGGCTACAAATAATTAATTCATCGTTCATCGCGATGTTTCACATTAGACATCGCCCAACCCTAGTTCAAGAATGAGTACACCCTTTTATGCACATTAAGTGAGAAACGGATTAAAATCTTCATTTTAAAAAAAAAGTACTTATTTATGATGTATCCAAAATCCTCAAACCTTTAGTGCATAATTTAAAATATTGATTATCGTTGTTTCCCAGTGACAGGTTGCAGCTGGAAGGGCATCCACTTTTTAAAGCATATGCTGGATAAGTTGGCGGTTCATTCCGCTGTGGTGACCCCCTGATGAATAACGGGACTAAGCCGAACGAAAATGAATGACTGAATGATTTTTGTTGTTGTTTTTTTGTTTGTTAGGTAAATATAAAGCAGGAGATGAAAGTGCCAGACTCATTGATTCTAAATAAAAAGGAGAAGAAACCAGGGAGGGACCCATCTGACTGTCACAAAAAGAAGAAGAGAAAGCAGCGCTCGCCTGCAAAGGTTTAATATAATCCATTCAAGATTTCTCTATAAATGATCTCTGTCCTTCAATAGTGAAAGAACATTTGTGAAAAAGAAATTGAACAACTTGTGATGAGTTTGTTGAGTGGTCCCTTTGAGCTGATTGTGTGTACACTTAAAAATAACCCTACAAACTATAATGCAGTGTAAGATAAACTGACATTCATTATCAGTCATTTTATTGACCGCCCAGTATCATAACACTAAAGGAGCACATACATGAAATATGAAGTTGTTGTGAACTTTATTTTCTCCATCTTGTTAGATTCTCACTATAAACGAAGATGGCTCACTTGGACACCAGAACCCAAAATCTCATATCTGTGAGCACTGCAATGCAGCTTTTCGGACAAACTACCATTTGCAGAGACATGTCTTCATTCACACGGGTAAGTGATGTAGTATTCCTTACCCTAGTCCTGTGGGAGTAATAGTTATATAAAGAACAAAACTATGAAGTAAAATGTACTATTTGCAGGTGAAAAGCCTTTCCAGTGCAATCAATGCGACATGCGCTTTATTCAGAAGTACCTGCTTCAGAGACATGAGAAGATCCATACAGGTTAGCAAAACGTGTCATTTCTTTATACTTGTGTTCACTTACCTATATTTATAAAAGCAGTCTTGCAAAGTCCCCATTTTATATCAACTTTCAGGCTTACTCAATTTGCCTAAATAGTTTGTTATATCATTTATAAAATCCTGTCATTTAACTTTTGTAGGAGAAAAACCCTTTCGCTGTGATGAGTGTGGAATGAAATTTATACAGAAGTACCACATGGAGAGACATAAGAGGACACACAGTGGAGAAAAGCCTTATCAGTGTGACTATTGCCATCAGGTAATATTTTGACTGGCAATATTATGAAAATGTTTAGGGTTGGCTTTGTTTGTGATTTTGATGCTATGTTCACACCAGATGTGGCATGCACAAACAAATTGCACTATTAGCATGTAAATAGACACGTGAACATTTTGTTTACTCACTTCATTGCGCGCCAAGTTTGCTTTATTCGCATGTCAAATTTACTTCACAATAGACTTGAATTTGCATCATGTGCAGGACATCTGTCTGCTCGGTGACTTTAGCTTTGTTGCTAAATGGCTAACATGGATTTTATTGAAATAGTAGCTGTGCTTTATTTAGGCTGAAAAACAGCATAGATTTGTTCGGCGTCATGTCTGAGTCCACTAGATCTTTCAGAGGTGCACCCAGCTCTGTGAGTTCATCAACTCCTCAAGTTTGAGAACCTGGATGATGGAGGTTTCCAGCGGTGCTTCAGCCGAGCTCAGTTTGATGAACGGCAAGAGGATTTCCCCTCAGGACACCAACAACAGGCATTACATCATAATCATGCCCCTACAAGAGAAAACATTTGATTGGGTAATGTGGCACAAATGTTCGCTGAAGTTCAGTTTTTTCAACTCGAGTGTCAAACCTGAAAAACGCTTAACTCGCACCACTTCATTCGTGCAAATCGCGTTATTTGCGCCACCTCATTTGCGCGAAACGAGCCACAAGATGTGTTTTCACATCTTTGCATTGACTTAAAATGTAAATCATTTACGCATTCACCCTTCATTCACTAGTGGTGTGAACGCAGCATTACAATACCTGTACCAACTCAGGCGTTTAAGTGGCCCTGAGGTCTGTGTTTAGATATATATTATGGGTTTTGGTATGCAACTGTAATCGTATTTTCCCCCACAGTTCTTCTCCAGAACTGACAGAGTACTGAAGCACAGAAGAATGTGCCATGAGAATAAAGACAGGAAGGTGCAGAAAACAGCTGTCAAAGATAGTCCTCTTCGCACTCCAGAGAACTTGGGCTTCTCTTTTCCTGCTAAGGATTGCACCCTTCCCAAGAAGAAACGTCAGAAGACCTCTGATAAAAGTCGGGCCTCAATCACAAACCCTGCTGTTGATAAAGTGGTTGAAGCTGATATGGATGAAAAGACGGAAGATCGACTTGCCAAAAGTGAGTGTCTTCCTCTTTATGCTGTAGCCACCAAGGTGAAGGATGAATATGTTGTGACCGATTATTCTGTGGAGCTCCCTGATTCCCCACCTGGCAGCAGGCATCTTGCAGGAGAGGAATCCAACGATGAAATTATCAGTCCTCCAAAACTAGTCTTAAAGAAAATTGCTAGCAGAAGAGGTTTCAAACAGCAGGCTCTAGAGCAGTCCCAGAGTCTCTCTCCATTGTCCTCATTCGAAGAGAGCAAAGTAACAAGATACACATTTGAGATTGTGGATAACAAAGGTTTGTTGGATGTAGAGACCAATCCTGACATGGAGTCAGTTGAAGCCCTACAAGTAGGACAAGCGAAACCTACAGGGAGCAGCACAAACTATGACGACGCCATGCAGTTTGTCAAGAAAAGGCGATATCTTCAGGCAGCTACGGCGAACACTAGTCGAGACTATGCGCTCAACGTGAGCAGCATCGTATCACAGTCATCTGTCACTCAAGCATCTGTAGCGACTGTCATCGATGAGACCGTTCCTGCCACAATCCTCTCTGAGACTCAGACGCTAAACGTGGAAATAAAGTCCAGTAATGAGAAAAACGTGCTTCCAGATGAAGTCCTGCAGACGCTTCTTGATCACTACTCCAATAAGGCCAATGGGCAGGCAGAGATTTCCTTTAGTGTGGCAGACACTGAGGTCACATCCAGCATCTCCATCAACTCTTCTGATGAGAGTAGCCCCGCGGAAGCTTTGGTAACCAGTTCACAAGCACCTCCGACTGAGAAGGCCAGCCTTTTGCAGGAGTACTCCAAGTTTCTCCAGCAGGCACTGGAAAGGACCAGTCAGAACGACACCTACCTTAACAACCAGAGTCTTACTTTTGTAAATGACAGTGCCAGTCTCGCTGGTCAGCCTTTGTTCTCCACAGAGAAGCAGTTCACCTCCCCACCCCGGTTCAGACCGACCATGAACTCTCCATTAAGATCCACCTTGGAGAAACCTAACTTTAACCTTTTAGTAGATACCCAACACTCCTTCTCCTTTTCAGGTGATGAGACAAACCCTTCCTCAGTTTCACCAACCGAGGACTTCCTCGACCAAGTGACCTCTCCCAAAAAGACTGACCCTCAAAGCATCAGCCAGACATTTCAGATCACTACTTTCGATCAGAACTTTCGATCTCAATTCCCAAGCTCTCGATCTGGAATATCCCCACAGTTTAGCATTGCCAGTGGACAAGTTACCCTGAGAGGTCATGGAGGGGCGGACTTCCCAGAGTTCTCTCTGGTTAATGAAACAAGAACTCAACTAACTTCATCACCAGATGCTACAAGCAGCCAAACCTTTGGCTGAACAAAAGCTTTTAACGATTTGAAGCATTTAAAAGGCACTTTATAGTTCTGTCAGTGAAGGCAATGTGATCTCTGTGCAAATACTTATGATTTTCCAATTCAATCTCTAAACAATCACGCCTGTGTAAGAATCAAGGGAGCTGAGTCACGTGCACATTAAGTTTCATTATTCTAATGTAGAACATAGAATATTCTGTGTCATTGCATTATTTGTAGTGCATGGACACACTATGGCTCACCAACTTGGTTAGTCTTTGCGTTCCAGATATCAAGCATTCAGTTTACTACTTTATGTAGTAGTGTGAATTTATTGGGTTAAAGTATCTTTCCCAAGAGAAAATTTTAAAGTCCGTGTGAAATCAAAATTGACTATGTTTACTTTGCTATCTTAAATTGTTATAGTTAATCTGTGCAGGTTAATCCACTGAATGTTTTTTGTTTGTTTTGGTAATCTTTAGTCAAAGTCTGACCATTTGCTTCTACATTTGTAGTGGCGATCCTTCTCTGTTGACGTCAACTTGATCCATAGCAATATTCTTAACCACGGCCCCTTACTGGTAGGTTGCAATGAAGTACATTGCAAAAATGGAAGTACATCAACATACTGGAATAAAAGTCTCAGCCACTTCTGGTTCACATGGACTTTAAAAAATCAGATTTAGCCACTTGTTAGTGTTCAGTTCTCAACTGAGTGACCTAATAGAAACTGCCCTAACCTTTCATTACAATCCATTTCCTTTCTTTTGAATTAATTTCGTGACATGTTGTCTAGAGAGTTACTGAAAGTACCTTACTTTGATGCCCTAGACTTGAGTAAGGCACTTACTAGGTTGTTCCTCTTTGTTATCAATGATTAAATAGTGACATTTATCGCACCCTAGTTACTCTATATATCTTTTATGCATTTATTGACTTTCATATGTTCTTGCATTCACCGCTCCTTGAAAGAATCTCACAAAGCAGCAATTTTCAGCTATCATCATACTGTGTTTGTATGGACCTAGCCCATAATTTTATAAGACTATATAATCTTGAATTATTTTTGCACATTTTGTCCTAAGATTATTTGATCAAAATGATGGTTATAATCAGCAAAAGCTACATCTGTCAGAATCAGTACGTTACGGTTTGATTTCTTGTATGCCACATTTTGAGGATGTCGTTTTAATTGTTGTCCAAGGCAACAGACACAGCAGGTATGCACTTCATCGTTATCTTCATTATGCCTAACTTAGTTCCAAGACGATTAGGGCATTTATCACTTTATTTATTTATTTGGTCAAGCCTGTATTCTTGAGTTTCCTGATGCACTCAAGATTTGATAAAACAAAAAATGACCCATTATATAGCACTTTGAGCTCATTGGCAGTTTTTTGTTTTTTTAAAGCACTTTTCAGTTCCCTCCCTCCATCTGTAAAATGCACATCTCCATTAGTAAACTTTAATTAAAACTAATTTCAAGAGGATCACATGCTTATGATTGTCCACAGCTGGTCTTGCATTAGCTTACTAGTGATTTACCAATCAGATGATTCTTAACTCGCTATATATGACCAGAGTTTCTTATTTCAGTACCTTCATCTTGAAGAATCTCCTCCACACACCCCTACTCCCCCTCCTTTAGATGGGTGACATGCAGCGCAGTGATTAGCACTGTTGCCCCACAGCAAGTTAAAGTCCCTACTAAACCAGATGACATTTCTGTCTGGAGTTTGCTCGTTTTCCTTGGGTTCTCCTGTTACCTCCCAAAGTCCAAAAAACAGGCAACCTAAGTAAATTGAACAAACCAATTAGCATCATAGTCAAGCTCTTAGCAAGCTGTATATATCCCTTTAGCCATCCCTATATCTGTCATTAGCCAGAAATAAGTCGGGGAAGTTCATCATGATCTACCTGAGCCCAAACTCCCCTCACACCCTGCTTGCGGAAGGGAGCCCAGGGCTCGAGGGTCTTATAAGTTCAGGGCTCTCTCCCGGGACAGCATGCCAAATAAGCTTATCAAATAAGCTAAGTGTGAAATCTTGAAATCTGATATAATCAGTTTAGAGCAAAATCAGCAAAGGTGATTTAAGAATGTATGGTTGAGATCATATTCATATGCCTTTTCTTTGTCTCAAAACACCCCATTCATTAGCAAATGCTTTCAAAAATCAGATTGCTTATTGAATTATTGAATAAAAAAATGGTGTAATGTTTGCTAAAATTGTACTAAAATCTATACGTAAGCATAACATGTTTGTTGCACATCTTTCTATGTTAGCTTTTTAACTAATCATGTACATTAAACTTTATTTTTCCGATTACGGAAATTTACCTGCTTGCCTCTTAAATGTAACTTGATTAATCTTAGTTTGATGATTTATAATCATAGTATCATGCCAACCTGTACTCATTGAATTTCTTTAAAGCATTCTTATGTAAATCGTTGAATGGTTTAGTACACAGCAAAATCCTCAAATTTACTCAGTTTAGAAATTTGGTCCCTCTCTAAATTGAGTTGAAGTTACTCAAGTTAATGAGACCATGACAAGATTAGTTAGGGGATGGTTGAGCACTGATGATGAAAACCTGCTGATAAACACAGAAGAGAAACACAAAACTTTTACTGACTTCAGTCACAGCCGTAAGCTGAGGTCACACTAGAGTTTGTGCATGCAAAATTCTGTAGTATGGCGCTGCGAAAAGTGGTGGGATTAAACAAGAAGATTAGACATTTTAAAAGAGAGCGATTGGTCCATATTTCAAATTTCTGTACAGAAAGGTCATGTTTTGATCTTTGATTGGTCTCACGCAGTCAAGTGATGCAATTTCGCAGGTCAAAATTCACCAAGCCTGAACTTTCCAACGCAGCGAACTGCAAAACTTGTCGCACAAGCTTGCGTTTCAAGCCTGAGGCATTCGCATGCGTATGAATGGAAGTCTAGGAGGGAAAAGTCCAGTGTGACCGCAGCTTTAGATGAAATCAGATGAAATTTTTCCTCTTATTCTTGCTGTCCATCTTTACTTTGTATCACAATTTGTTTTTTAATTTTTGCAATAAGCAATTCCTCAGTTAAATGTGCAACCCCACTCCCCTAGACAAAAAGGGGTTGTAACAATACATTGAATCTCTTAAAATCTCAGCAGAGGATCATTAAGCAACTCCGCAAACAGCAGCTATACTTTTATTACTAACCTGTTTGCCCCTTATTTAAAGAGGGACCAAATACTCTCTGAACCTAGTAAATTTTGCTCAGAGGATTGGGTAAACAATTCACACACGTTCATTCTGCTTGTTTCGTGAGTCCATCAAGAGCAGTCCAGTGAGTATTTTTTTTTTTTTGTTCATGATCTGCATGATCTGGCTGTCAAAGACGTTTACCATGTTTTTGATTACAGTTATTTTTCTGTGTGCCTAAACATTCCTTTATTCCTTTGTTTATATACATGCTGTAAATAGGTTGTGTAATTTAAGTTGTGCACTTTTCTTGAGATGTAGTATTTAGAGAGAGTGCAACTTGATTTGAGAATATTTGCTGCCATTTCGATTTACTCATTCCTACAGTCCCTGATGACTCTCAGCACAACAGTTGTGACAGTCATGTTTGTGTTGTTGTTTGTAAAATGACAAATGTACTGTCCTCTCTATGAATTGCCTCTGAATGCAGTTTTAATTGGATTAAAAAAAGACATTGTAAGGAGTTATTTATCATTTCAATATCACGTGATTCCTGCATTAAAATATTTAATCAATAATTACTGCTACAGATGCACCTGAAATTTCTGAAAGTGAAATGGTGGTTTGAGGGAAGAGCTTAATGCCTTGTTTTTGCTTTATTTTCTGATAGTAAATTATGATTGTTTTCTTTTTAAATGTTTTGAGTAATCTTAAATTGGTGTTGGTCATATCTGTTATTGAATGCATTATGGTTGTCCTTAATCTCCCCCCCAAGTTTAACTTGAGTGGAAAGCTGAATGGTTTTATTTAGTAAGAGAGCTCTTCTAAATAGTTTTTAGACATTTCATTTTATTGGGGGAGTGCATGTCCTCTGACTGTCTTTGTACACTGGTTATATTTTTATATGTATCCATTTTATTGTAGCCGAGTTACTTCCATAGAATATACTTTAATGCAATACTTTGCCTAAGACATGGGGGAAAGTTCTGATTGGATGTTTTTGATTGCGTGCCTCTTCTTGTGTAATATTAAATTTCCAAAACATCAAGGTGTTGAGTGCTGTTTCCATGTTTGCTGATCTACATCACTCACCACAGGAATGGGTGGTTCCTAGTGGCTCTTAGTATGAGCACTACTGAGTGAATCTTAAACAAAAAAAAAAAAACATAATTTTTTATAACGGATTCAAGAAATACATTATAGTAGGGTTGTTTTTTTTATAATTGACGTTTTTTATGACCTTAACCTTAAGAATAACAAAATTCCAAATAATGAAATTTCAAATATGTAAGCAATGTCCAAAAATAAATGAAATATACAAATAATAATTTACTAAAACTTTTAAAAATAACTCATTTGACCTCGTACCACAAAAACAGTCATATAAGTGTCATTTTTTACATTTTGATTTATACAACATCTAAAATATATAATAAATCATATGTTTGTTTTGATGTTTGGTTCATTACAATCTTTGGCTGAGAAACAACTATGCAATATCTGGCACCCTGGGGTTAAAAAAAATCCTAAATATTGAGAAAATTGTCTTTAAAATTGGCCAAAGGATATGATTATCAATGCATATATTCATTCATTTTCTTTTCGGCTTAGTTCCTTTATTAATCTGGGGTCGCCACAGCAGAATGAACTGCCAACTTATCCAGCACATGTTTTAAGTAGCGAATGCCCTTCTAGCTGCAACCCAGTACTGGGAGACATCCATACACAACAAATTCGCACACATACACTTCGGACAATTTTAGCTTACCCAATTCACCTATAGCCCATGTCTTTGAACTTGTGGGGAAACCGGAGCACCCGGAGGAAACCCACATGAACATGGGTAGAACATGCAAACTCCTCACAGAAATGTCAGCTGACCCAGCCAAGGCACGAAACAGTGACCTTTCTGTGAGGCAACCCACTTCGCCACTGTGTTAGGTAAGCTAAATTGGCCACAGTGTATGTGTGTGAGTGTTTATGGATGTTTCCCAGTGATGGGTTGCTGCTGAAAGAAGGAAACAAACTTTCAAATGATAAATTTTTAAAATAATAATAGACAAACCGTTCCAGAGAACCGATTCGCTGAAAAACTTTTAAACACTTTCAAATTATGTATTAGTTTATACATGACCAAGGATTTTAATTCATATGAAGAGAATCTCTACTGTGACATTCCCCCCTGTAATCGTTTATTCGTACATAAATGAAGGGAAAAAGAAGCAGCGGCTGAAGAACAGTGAAAAACAAGAGAGCTACACTGACAGCACACACCTGAGGTGGCGCTGACAGAACAGATATTTGTTTAATGACGTTATTTGAACACGTTGCGTTTCCATTAATAACAGCAGTACAAAGACAGCTGGCGAGGCAGCTCAAATATAAAACTGAATACAACTCAGTTTTTAACTAATAAACGGCGTTGAATGATGGGGCAGTTTATTAAGTTACTTCAGCAGCAAAGATTTAGAACTTTGTAGGAAGCAGAAGAACGTAGCAGAAGGACTATTGCTTACGAACGTTTAGGTAAAAGAATAGACGAACCGTTCAAAAGAACCGATTCGCTGAAATGATTCGGATCACGCAATTCCTCAGGTGTGCACTGCTCGTGTCTCTCCCACATTCTCCACCTGCTCCTGCATCCGGGAGCACAGCGCAGGTATGTGTGCGTTTGTCTTTATGATTGCGCAATAATTTTACCGTTTATATCACAAATCAGCACTTTACATGTTTATGTAGTCTCGATGGTCGCTGCATTTCTTGTAGACTTGAGATTTGTAAACTACCTTTTTGTACTACTTTAGTAACTTACCCGTCTGTAGTTATACTCACGTGAACTTCCTAAGTTTGTTTGCCTTTCATTTTGAAGTAGTTTAATGTGGTTCAAATGCGGAATGTCTATGGGCTGTTGATTATTAATAGTTCCCAACGTGTAATTTATTAACAGATTTTGTGGACCACGCTACGTTCAACACCTTGATGTCAAAACGACAAAAATAATAAAAACACACGTCAAGAATGCAAATCAATTTGATGTCAGTTAACTAATTACTTGATGTCAAAACGACATCCAAAATTGGCATTCTTACAGAGCAGTCATGTAACCGATTTTTGACGTGTTTATGCCAATATTAGATGTCAATTTTACATGAAGTCAGTTTAAAAGTATTGTGGGGGTTTGCAATTGAACCTTTTAGGATAATACAAATGTTCTATTCTTTGCGTCGTTATTTTGGTGGTCGCATCTTTGCGTGGATGTCAAATATAAAGGTTTTAATCAAATCGATTTGTATCTTTGACGTGTTTTTGACGTCATATTTGATGTCGTTTTGACATAAAAATTAATATCTAAAATTAGCATAAGAAACACCTCAAAAATTATTACAGGGCAGTCATGAAACCGTGAAGTGTTTTCATGAAACCGTGAAGTGTTTTCACTGCAAATATTAGATGTCATGTCGTTTTTACATCAAGGCAGTTTAGCATTGTAGGAATCTGGTGTAAATTTGCAATTAAAGCTTTCAGATTAACTCAAAATTTAATTAGTTATTTTGGAGTCGTTATTTTGGTGGTCAAAATGCATCTTTGTGTGGATGTCAAATACACCTCAAGGTTTTGACATAGAGTCGATTTGCATTCTTGACGTATTTTGACGTCATACTTTTTAACATCAAGGCACCTGCTGGGGTGGACATTGCCTGCTTGGCAAAAATTATTAAAGCCAGCTTCTAGGGCTCTTTAAATTGCTGACAGAAAGTGTTTTCCTTCCTCAGATCCAGATACTGTAATCCTAATCAGTTTTTTAAAGTATTTGATGTAGAGAAACACGTCAGAAATTTTGTTACAGGGCAGTTGTAACCGCTTTTTGATGTGTTTTTGACACAAATACCAGATGTCAATTTGATCAGTTTTTACATCAAGGCAGTTTACAAACATCATAGGGAGACAAAATCTAGTGTAAATTTGCAATTGAAGCCTTCAGATTAATATCATTTTTATATTATTACTTTTTGTGTAATTCGTTCTTTTGGTGTCGTTATTTTGGCGGTCAATATGCATCATTGTGTGTATGTCAAATATACCTCAAGGTTTTGAAAACAAATCGATTTGCATTTTTGACGCGTTTTTTGATGTGTCGTCTCGACATAAAAATGATTTCTAAAATTAGCACAAGAAAAAAAATGTATTACAGGGCAGTCATGTAACTGACTTATTAGATGTCAATTCAATGTTGTTTTTACATTAAGGCAGTTTATAACCCTGCTGAAAAACAGCATACTGTATGCTGGTAAGGTATGTTTTGATGCTGGTCTTGCTGGTTTCAGTGCTGGTTTTGCTGGTCTCGATGCTGGTCTAAATGCTGGTCCTGACTAGACATGGGACGATAATCGGTTTTGAGGTTTACCGCGGTTTGAAAAAGTCAAGGTTTTAAAACACTTACTGCTATACCATTCCTACTGCATATGTAAGTTTTTGTTGCAGTTGTAGGGGGTATTTTTTGTTTTTTCCCAGACATTCATGATATCATGATACCGTGATATTGTTATCCAAGGTTATCCATAACGTCAGAATCTTACACCGGCCCATGCCCAGTCCTGACCAGTATTACGACCAGCATCAAAACATACATTACTAGCATTTGCTGTTTTTTCAGCAGGGTACAAACATCATAGGGATACAAAATATTAAAATATTAAAAAATATTAAATTTCCGGTTGAGGCTTCCTGCTTGCCAAATATTATTAAAACTGGCTTCTAGGGCTCTTCAAATTACTGACAGAAAATGCTTTCTTTCCTCAGATCCAGCTACTGTAACCTTACCCAGGAGAGAGAATGAGTCCTCAAGTGCAAGAGTTATTTCATGAAGACGCACAGGTAATGTTCAATCTGTAAGTTTTGCCATGCAATTAAAATGGTAATGTTTTAGATGCTATTGCAGATTGGGTGGGGGAACAGGCATTAATAGGGATTTATTTAGATTTGAGTGACACTGGTTTGTGTAGGGTTCCCAGATTAATGCTCAACCTTGGTGGAAGGTGCAGCTTTTTGTCTGGGAACCTGTGCTTTTCGGCACTTGGGATGGAGTCTTCACTACCTGCATGATCAACATCTTTGGAGTGGTGCTCTTCTTACGGACTGGCTGGCTTGTGGTAAGTTGTTTTATCATAGATTTCAGGATGATTGAGGTTAGAGCTGAACAATATATTGTTTGAGCATTGACATCAATATGTGTGTATCTGCAATACTAAAAATAAATATGATCAAATATTATTATTATAAAATTGTATACAATTATTATATATTTTAAATTGTTAGTTTACGTTTACTTGTTCAATTTCCATATTCAAATATTTTCTGACTCCCAAGAAAACCACATAGCACTGTTTATTTAACCTTTATTTTCGCTCCATCATATTTATATATGCTGGTAATTTATTATATTTTATGCAGATATCACTGCGTAGAAAAAGAGTTGATCACTCCAGTCGATCTAAATGAACAGCTTCTGTGGAAGCTGTATTCATATAGCAATGTATATAACAGCAAAACATAGCAAAACAAAACAAAATATTGCAATGTCAGATTGTTCCAGTACCATCCAACCCTAAATGAGGTGTATATATGTACCAGAGGGTTTATTTTAAAAGACATTTCAGTGTTTTGACCTACGGTAAAGTTTGTAAAAAAAAAAGTTTAAAGTCTCTTATGTTTTCCAAGGCTGCATTTATTTGAAATCTTGTTTCAAAAGATTGTTGTGGAATGTAATTTTTTATTTAAATAAAATAGGTGAAAATGTGTTAAATTGACACATACAGCTATTGTTATTTTTAAACCACTTTTTCAGCATAATCATTAGTTCAGTCTTCAGTGTCACATGAGTCTTGTCACATGATCTGTGATTATAGTTTTTTTCTTGAATTAGAGAATAATCATTTATTATGCTTATTATTATTATTTTTATTATTATTATTATTATTATTATTATTATTATTATTATTATTATTATATTATTAATCTTGAAAAAGTTTTTTTTCTCATTGATATTTTTGTAAAAACTGAGATGCATTCTACATTTCAGGAGTTTTTGAGGAAGGGAAGGTTCAACTTTTTTAAAATCATTGTAAATGTTTTATTGTCACTGTAATTCAGTGTGAGAATTAACAGTTTCTGTAGATTTACTTTATTCAATAGATGTTGGTTTGAGTAAAATACAATTTTCACTTGTAGTTATATTCTATACATTTTTGATATCATTTCTTCCATTTACAATTTTACAAATGTTATCATTTAAAAGATGTCTATCTTCCAGAAAATGACAATTGGTCAGAATAGCAAATGTTTTCATATGTTGCATATTATGTTGCATAATAATCAGGTTTAATCAACCAAATTGTGATTTTTATTTCAATTTTTAAAAAACAAATTTTCTTCTGAAGTTAAAACATTAGCGTTGTGTTGCCAAAAAAAAGTATAAAACTAATCATCATATCTTATCTTTTAAAAAAAGATTTACAATAAAAAAATGTTTTTAGATCAAATAAATGCAAAACACATTTGTAAAAATAATTTGACCAGTGGTGTGCCATGATTTTTGCTATTAAAGGGATTGTTCAACCAAAAGTGAAAATGTACTTAGTATTTACTCACCCTCAAGTGCTTCCAAAACTACAGTATATACACGTTTCTTGATTATTCTAAACACCAAAGAAGATATTTTGAAGAAAGCTGAAACCAGGTAAGCGTTGACGTCCATAGTAGTAAAAACAAATACTATGAAAGTCAATGGTTTGAAAGAAAGAAACTTAAACAGGTTTGGAACAAGTGAAGTTTGCTTACATGATGACAGTATTTTCAGATTTGGGTGAATCTCTTTAAATGAACATCCATTGAACTGTTATTTTATTTTTCCCATTCGATAATCTTCAGGGTAACACGGGTGTGTTTTTGGGCATGCTGCTGGTATCATTGGTGGTGCTGGTGGCCTTGGTCACAGTGATGTCTGGTGTTGGCGTGAGTGAATGTTGCAGCGTGGGAAACGGGGGAGTTTACTCCATGATCTCCACTGTGCTGGGAGGCAGGATTGGAGGAACTGTGGGACTCCTGTATGTTTTTGGACAGGTGAGCAGCTCGTGCCTGCATTATGTTGCATGTTCACAGGATTATATGCTCAGGGTTGTGCTGATACCGATAATAGTATAGAAAATACTCATCAATAATGCAAAAATTGTGTCATTGGTATTGGTGGGAATTTTCTAATCTAGTATCGGTATCAAAACAACACTCGGGTATCGGTTCAGTACTCTTTATAAGCCGATATCCTTAGCTCAGGTATTGAAATCGGTACTGGGAAAGAAAAAATGGTATCGGAACATCCCTAATAAGGAGTTTGATGACAATTATGTGTGTCTCTCTCTCTCTCTCTTTTGGCAGTGTGTGGCTGGAGCGATGTACATTACAGGTTTTGCTGAGTCCATTGCTCAGGTGTTGAGTTTGCAGAGCACATGGGTTGTGAGGGGCATATCTGTGGCCGTTCTGCTCGGTCTGCTTGGAATTAATCTGGCCGGGGTCAAATGGATTGTACGACTTCAATTGGTTCTGCTTGGGATTTTAGCAATGTCAACTTTGGATTTCGTCATCGGAACTTTTAGTCATCTAGATCCAGGTAAGATCTCTTCAAGGTTGTTGTTTTTGATGCACTAGTATAAGGGTTCTAGTAAGGGTAACACTAGCTTTACATTTTATTGCATAACAAGGTTAAATTGAAGACTAAATTATCACAATAGATCCTCTTTTGAGAAGATCAGTCAGCAAGACAAGAAAAGTATGTGTAATAATTAGCTTCTGGAACAGGTGTAAATGTGTTTATGTTTTTGTTAAAATTCAAAATACATGGGAAAAATGCAGGGTTCTACACAATTGCTTTCGTTGTCCCAACACAAGTCAGTTAAGTTAACTTAAGTGGATTGAACATAAAACTATTAAGTTGTTCTTTAAAAGCTCTCAAGAATTGTGTAGTTTCAACTCTTTTTACAGAAGTTGTTTGAACTTTTTGGAGTGTAATACTATTATATTAAAGAAATACAAAAAATAAAAAACAGGCATTTTCCTGAACTTTCCTATTAATAAATGGTTTAGTAAAAGATTCTTGCCCTGCAGTGTTGTTTTCACAAACCGCACTAAACTACTTTCTAATATTGACCGTCTTTCTTTGCACATTTCCTGGCAAACCTGCTGGACGAGGATATCCCGGTTCACGTCATTTTATGTTGAGCGAAATTCTGAGTGTTTTATTCCTTCAACAGCACACATCTGTATGCAAATTCTTATATTTATATGCAGAGTAATGTTTATTTTAGGGTAATTAAAAAATACAGGAAATGAGGTTGGTGTTGACAGAATAAATACAGTACTGTTCAAGTATAGCATTTACATTAAAAAAGTTAAAAGACATTGTTTTTACTGTTAAAAAGTATTTCTTAAATGTAAGACTGCTGGTAGAAAGGTCAGTTTTAAAAGCAGTTTTTACCTTCAAAAAACATTCAGAATAAAAAAAGAAATCTATAATCAATCATGGATAATGTGGGACTGAAAATAATTGTAATTCATTTATTTGTAAATGGTGCCTTTCTGGACACCCACGTTTGCCTTACATCAAGCATCAAATTAAAACAATTAATAAAACGTTGCCAAACAAAAGTTTTAAATGCATGGAGTTGCAGGTACAAACACATCATGAGTATAAAATAACATGATAAAAGATAGGTCTTGAGACGAGATTTAAAGGTGTGAAGATCATCAGTGCTCCTTTGTTTCAGGGGAAGCGAGTTCCATAGTCAAGGAGCTGTGAAGCTAAAAGATGTGGCTCCCATTGTGCTCAATAAAGTGCGAAGTGGCACCATGGAGAAAGTTGGCTGATCTAAGAGTGCAAGAAGTATCAAAATATCATTAAAATAGTATTAAAATATCTTTAAAAGAAAAGTATTAAAGAAATATACCTTTAAACAGTGAATTTGAATAATTATTTATTGAATTTTTTTTACTAAGAAATGCAGCTTTGGGGAGCATAAAACATTTTTTTAAATGCATTAAAATAGCTTACCAACTTGGCAACTTACCAACAATAAATCTGTATGTCAATATATTTAAATACTCTGTGAATGTAGGTATTACTGCATTTTTCAGCTATAGGAAACATCTTACCTGCCTTTAACACTTGAACAACCGTGTTTATGTAAATATATTTAAATAATGTGTGTGAGATACTCATCTCTGATACTAATCTGAAATGGTTTTAGTATTGTCAATATTATGTCTATTGGGATTAGTGATCTTGAATAATGTCAACATTAATGCTGACTGACTTAATGTGTGTACATCTCAGTTACATTGGGTTTATCTAAATAGTATCAGTATTAGGGGCACTGTAACATGAGCTCATATGTCCTGACAATAACTGTCCAGTAGATGTCAGGGTAACATAAACGTCCCCAACTATGCTTTTCTAAGTGATTTGAAATGTGCTGCAGAAAATATATGATATGATTCATTTATTAATATATCTTTTGTATCAGATTTCTTTAAAACAATTTAATCTCAACAATCAATGCAAATCAAGATTTTGCACACTGAGTCTGAGTTTATGGTCTGCACTGACAATATAAACAGCTGAATGTATCTTCTGTGAGTGGTGCAAAAGGCCACCAGGGAGTACAGGGTCTCTTCCTAAAATAAACACAATGATAGAACTCCAGCACCAATCATAATATGGAAGTTGAAGGAACAGGAAGGGTGAAATGGTTTGTCTTCCTATTATATACTCTCATATATAAACCTGGACCTCAGTAGCCAAAATGGTTTACCTGAATAATTATAGTCAGTGAGATTTTTTAAATATTTTAAATTCTGCATTAAGTTAATGAAAAGTAAAAGTCAAGACATTTAATAATGTTACATATGATGTTATTATTAGAAATTTATAAACGCATGTAAAACACTTTAAAAACACACACATATATATATATATATATATATATATATATATATATATATATATATATATATATATATATATATATATAAACATTAAACTTACATTTAAACAATTAGACATAAAAAAAAAAACAACAACCAACAGTCATATAAATAATAGTTAAACAAAAAATAAACATGCATTCCCCCAATCAACCACCCACCAGTGCTATCCAACTAAAGATACTAAAGGCATAGTTAACATATCAGTCAGTTAGAATAATAAAATGTTAATTTGTGGAAAGGAAATAAAAGGGGACCAAATTCTTTCACATAACAAAACCTTGTCTATTAGGGATATACCAGATTTGTTGCAGATGTAATGTACGTTAGGATTTTAATACAGCAAATAAATGCCGTTCTTGCGTATTTTCAGTGTCACGTTTTCCACAGAATATAAAGCATCATACTTGTTTTGAGCCATGATAATATTAACAAATGTATAGTTATTGCCAAATTAGCATATTAAATAAAATTATTTCTGAAGATTAGAGTACTGGCTTGCCAAATTTAACACCTTTTTAGTTTTATAGTAGCTATAGGGAAGGTGGAAGGCCTTAGTCGGCTTGGTTCTTTTATTATTAAGGGGTTGCCACAGCGGAATGAGCTGCCAACTTATCCAGCACATGATTTACGCAGCTGATGTCCTTCCAGCTGCAACCCATTTCTGGGAAACATCCATACAGACGCACTCACACACACACACACACACACCATGGACAATTTAGCTTACCCAGTTCACAACATTCAATCAAAAGCAAAAATCCTACTTAACTTTGAGTATATCGGGGCCTTACATACAGCCTACAAGTTCTCCAAAAAAAAAAATTAAAATTTATTATTTAAATATAAAAATAATCCTTAATATTGATTTTATTTTTTTTGTTTAGCAGAAAAAAAGGTCTGAATTAAGTGATTGATGACAATTTTCAGTTTTCGATGAGCTACAACTTTAAGGTTATGCTCTTACTCAAATAAACCTTTCATTAGGGCTGTGCAATAATCGAAAAGTCATCGAAATCGACATTCAGAACCTATAATCGACCTAATTTTTTTAGAATGATTTTTTCAATTATTTTTTTTTACTGAACATGCAGTCCCATGACCCCGCTCTGTTAAAGACTGAGGCGGATTTATATTTCTGCAGCTACATCTGATCTCTGGTCAAGTGGGACGATAGACCCATTTTTGAGCCTTACTTTGCTCTACATTTACGATGATTGGAAGCTGTGCTGAGATGCCTTGAGACGGCATTTTTTCCATTACATTACAAAATTTTCATTTTTACTTTTAATATAAAAAACACTGATTATAATAAATTTTTGTTTTAATAGTTATTTATTGATTTATTTTCACTTTTTTGTAATAAAAAAGACAATGTGGTTTTGTTTTAGGAAATGTGTGTTTTAATTTCATTTGTTTAATGTTAATGTTCAATAAATAATCAGATAGTAGATATTGTGTGTTTTCTTCAATTATTTTAAAATCAAGTAATGCACCCTTCATTCAGAAATCTCTCACTTGTAATATTTGAAAATATTTACTGTACAAAACGTATCAGTGAACAATGAGGGAAAAATATTTAAAAAATAACTAAATAAACTAGTTGTCCATTAAGTGTTATCAAGTTAAAAAGGTCAATTAATCAAGATTTCGATTTTAGGCCAAATCACCAGCCCTACCTTTCATCTAAATATAAGAAACAGAACAATTTTAGTTTTATTTTGTAAACTGCAGTGACATTTTGTCTGAATTTTAAATAAAAAAATTTAAAATAAAAAGTGCCATGTTATGCAATATATATTAAATATATATATTAAATATTTTGATTAATATTAAAATATAATGAAATATTTATATAAAATAAATAGCAAAATAATATTATTCCTACTCTATTTAAAAAAATTAGCTTAAAGTGGTTAATAATTTTGACCTCAAAATGGTTTTTAAAAAATTACAAAAATATTATCAGACATACTGTGAAAATGTCCTTGCTCTGTTAAACATTATTTGGCAAGCATTTAAAAAATAAAAAAAATAAAGGGGGGCTAAGAATTCTGACTTCAACTGTATGAATTGTATTGTAAGTGTATGTTGTATTATTTTTTAATTGTTACGCTTGTTACAACTTCCTGCTCGGGGACAACAGATGTAAATTAGCTTTATAGCTAACTCTGGCACAACATATCATGTTGTACATTGTTCCTGTATAAATAAATAAATAAATAAATAAATAAATAGTAAAACTGTCATTTGAAATTAAAATATTCCACATTCACATGTCTAATACAGCATTCAAATGTTTTTACAATTAACTTCAATAAATTATTATTTCTATATTATTAGTGCTTGTTATTAAAAGTATCAAATGAAATGTAGTCTGCTTACAGTCCAATGAGTTGTTCAATCATTCGAAATTTCAGCTTGGTCATATTTTTCAAATTGTTTAGATGTGCTTTCATACATTTGTGCTGTAAAACCATAATGCATTATAGTAAATTTTAAATAAATGAGTAGTATACTTGGCACAAGTTTAAATAATACAAGATTATAATAGCAACTTGTCAGCATACAGAAATGTATGTGTGACATCTAAGAGTCATTCGCTCTAAAGACAAGCATGCAGGCATTCTT